TTCCGCTCTGCAGAAGACAGAGTCCTTGAGTAATAGGCCACAGGGACCTGTGTCCCATCAGACCTTCAGATGGCTGAGTACAGCTCCAACCTCATAAGGAGATGCATTGCATGTGATGCAAACAGACAGTTGCTCATTGAAATGCGCCAAAATAGCATTAGAAGTGAGCAAGGCTTTAACCTCATTGAAACTCTTTTCATGGACTTTAGTCCACTGCCAAGAAGCCTGCTTGTCTAAGAGCCTGTGTAATGGCTCTGCTACTGCAGCTTTATATGGGAGAAATGCATGGTAAAAATTTAATAGCCCCAAGAAGGCTTGCAGCTCACTCTTAGACTTAGGGCTTGGGGCCTGCTGGATAGCTTGCAATTTAGTTTCAGCAGGGTGAATGCCTTGAGCATCTATCCTGAATCCTAAGAATTCAGTAGAACTGACTCCTATCTTACCTTTATCCTTCTTTAGTTTAAAGCCTGCTTTTTGAAAATGAAGCAAGACAGCCCTTAATCTCTCTGCTAAATTTTGAGATGATTCCCCAGTAATGAGGACATCATCAAAGTAGGGACAGACCCCAGGAATACCTTGAAGTATGCTCTCCATGACACTTTGGAATATGCCAGGGGCTACATTTACCCCAAATTTCAGTCTCTTGACCCTGAGGGCCTCTCTGTGAGTTATAATAGTCTAGGCCTCAGCAGCTGCCTCATCAACAGATAGCTGTTGATAGGCCTGTGCCAGGTCAAGCTTTGCAAAAATGTGCCCCCCCTTGAGGGAGGCCAGAATGTGACGTACCACAGGCACTGGATAAGCGTGCTGTTGCAGCGCCTTATTCAGGGTGCACTTGTAGTCTGCACATAAATGTATGTCCCCATTAGCCTTTAGAGGCGTTACTATGGGGGTTTCCCATGGACTAGAATCTACAGTTCTAAAATGCCCTGCTGGAGCAATTTGTCCAGCTCAGCATCAATCTTGCCTTTGAGGGCAAAAGGTACCCTCCTAGGCTTAACCCTGATGGGCGTGATGGTTGGGTCTAACCATAGTGAAATTGGGGGCCCCTTGTAGGATCCTAGCTCTGAACTAAACACATCTGCAAACTCCTTGCAGACTTCTGCAAGGCTCAATGTTTGCAAATGGTGCAGCCCAGTTATTTATTCATTTATTTATTTATTTATTTATTTATTTATGAGACTTATATACCGCTTTAAGTGCAAGCACTCTCTAAGCGGTGTACATCAGTAAGCAATGCATATATATATTTACATTGCCCCCAACAATCTGGGTCCTCATTTTACCTACCCCGGAAGGATGGAAGGCTGAGTCAACCTTGAGCCGGTGAGATTTCAATCGAGTCCAATAAGATTCGTACGTTCACCCCCAACAACCACTACATCTAGGGGACCTTCAAAATCCTTATGCTGTACTCTAAGGGTGGCCTCCCCCTTAAAACACACCATAGAATTCTGAAAATCTGTAAGTATTAGATTGGATGGCTGGAATTTTACTCGAAGGCCACTGCAGCTGCATATCCTTTTGAATGTGTTAATAGAAATAATGGAGAGAGTGGACCCAGTGTCCAACTCCATTGATAAGGGAACCCCTTGCAACCTTAAATTGATGGAAAACTTCTTCTTAAGGGGCTTATGTGTCCCTGTCCTTAAAATACTCCTGCGTGGTGTTGGCTAGGGACCCTGGTACCTTTCAGACACAATTCTTCATGAGGTTGGACCTTCTGGTGACCCAAACAGACAAATGTGATGTGTCCTTGCCTGCCACACACTCTGCATATGGTGGAGTGGAACCTGCAGTCAGCTTGCTTGTGGCGTCCTCCACACCCAAAGCATTGAAGAGATGCTGGGGCTTGTCCAGATGTTCCTTCTGCCTCCTTCCAGCTGGCTGGTGAAGTCTATCCACCTCTTCTTCAGGATCCGCTTCCGATCCTTCTCTAGTATCCTCTTGATGGACAGTAGCTGTCTCTGGAGGGCTCTTGGTGGGCCGTAGGGTCTTCACAGCCCCACCTGCTGCTTCCTCAACAGTTACCTCTCGTAGCACATCTTGGAAAGAGACATCTTCTTTTGCAAAAATCTTCTGCTGTAAATCTCTGTTCCTTAAAGCACATACGAAGCGATCTCGCAGCCTCTGTTCCAGATCCTTGAACTCACATGGTCTGGCTGCTTGCCTTAAGGCCGCAATAAAATCCGTAGCAGACTCACCCGGCCTCTGGTCTCTCTGCTCGAACGCGTGCCTCCAAGCAATAACAGACAACTTTGGCTGGAAGTGTTCCTTTAACATTTTCTTCAAATCAGTACACGTTACTGACTCCAGAGGTGCAGGGGCCACCAGATTCTCTGCAATTTCAAAAGCTTCCTGTCCACAGACACACAAAAGAGTTGCAGCCTTCAAGCCATCCTCTCTAATTTGATTTACTCTGAAGTAATTTCTCCACCCTTCCATCTCTCTGGGTGTGAGACATCAAAATCAGACAAACGACCAATCTTTGCCATACTACTTTTACTACCTTCACCACTCTCTCCTCTGCAAACTTCTGTTTAGGGAAAGGGTCCTTTAGCCGAGCTCACCCTCCAGCGATGCTATACTGGCAGGCTGGGACGCTGATTCAGACACCCTCTTCCCTCTTCAGGACTTCCTGGGTAAGTCCTTAAAACTTTCTCTTTAGTTTGCAAAGGATCCCACCTTTGTCGCCAGTGTTAAATACTCTGTTTGCTTGCAAATGATGAATAAACATGGCAAAGTTCAACAGTTCTTTATTCTCTTAAAGTGACACCCGAACAACCAGCAACAGGCACGCATGCCTCTTTATGTGTCCAGAGACCCGGACAATGACAAACAAAGTAACAGAGCGTTTTCACACCTTGCGCATGTGCACAAGGCTGGCACCACTCAGTCTGGTCCTGGGAAGCTTTTGGAATGCCCGGGACCAATGCAACATCCCGAGCCTGTTTTGCAGGCTCAGGACACAACAATGGGGATGTTACAAAGGTCGTAGGTGTGAAAAATGGTTGTCAGTTTTTCAGTGCCGTTGTAACTTCAAGTGATCACTAAAGAGATGTTTATGCTCAAGATTTGTAAATCCTAAACATGTTAACAGCATTTGTTGTGATTCTTTTGTGTACAATACAATCCATAGTAAGAAATTAACTTTTTTTATAAAAGAAAGTAGGGTTTTTTCCCCCTGTATTTCTTGGAATTTATATACTAGCTTTCTCCTTGAGTGGCCAGAAAATTAGCAAAGCTCAAAACAAACTGTATTGTGGCTTTGACATGCTTGTCTTTTAACTAGTCATTAGTCCATAAAAAGGAAGGCACTTCAAAGTGGAAAACAGAAATGGTGTGACAGTTTTTCCATGCAGTGATTTGCAGAATAAAAGGGTGATGGTAGAACCAAAGTTCCCAAAAGTTGTAACTGAAATGTAATTTTGGATTTAATTTATCCTTTTCTTACTTTTTAAATAATAAAAAATGAGCATCAATATCACTAAATGAATAATTTTAAGGACTACCTGTGAGTATTTTTTAAAAAAGAAACAATGCATATAATAGCAGTTTCACCAGATATTTCAAGATTGACTCTGCCCACAATATGGAGAGGGAATGTCACTTTTTGATGTCCTCCCATGGACATCTACACACACAAAGCACAGTGTGCAGTATGTGTTTCTCTCAGTTGCATGCAATTGACTATTCCTTGATTCCAGTTAAAAGTCAGGATTTCCACCACATTACTTAAAAATCCACCTATAGTTTACTGCTAAATCAGAAGAATGAATTTGAACCTTCGTTCATCTGTCTGTCTATCTATCTATCTATCTATCTATCTATCTATCTATCTATCTATCTATTCATTCAATCAATTTCTATAGCCACCCAACTCAACCAAGTGATTCTGGGCGGCTGAGAGATGTCATTATATTCTTGGTTTTCTTATACACACTTGAAGACTTACCCATCATTCTGTTCTCATTCATTCATTCATTCATTCATTTCATTTTTAAACTGCCCTTCTCCCTCATAGGAGATGTTAGGTAAACATCATTTAAAGAATAAAACAGAGAGAAGAAAATAATTTAAAAGACGGAGAAATATGTACATCATATATACTATCTGTCAAGATTGAATCGCTATGGGGCCTGTCAGCTTCTGTTGCTAATCAACTTGTCAGAGAAAAGGGGGAGGGGTAGAAAATGAAGGGAGCAAATGTAATGCCAAGAAGCCATTCAAAGATCGTGGGAGCCTGCACCACGCCAAGGTCACTGCCGCAGGTGCTCGATGGAGAAGTGAACTGTTCCTTTAACAAAATGGAGTATTACTATTGGACAATGTGAACACCCGGTGGGTGGGGACATGGGAATCTATTGTTTAACTAAGTAAGCTTTTGCACGGGAAAATTCAGAGCTGGTCTTGCTTCTTTAGTTCTAAGATGGTATATTCAATAAAGTTTTACTCTTTGGGACTCAATTGCCTTAAAGGAAATATTTTGTTTTGCTAGTCAAATTATTGACACTATCCTTGTTAGTCATCCTGGCTTTTATGATGTCCATACAAGACCTTAGACCTTGCTTTTTGTTCTTTATAGACTTTTCACTGCTTTCTTCCTAGAGATCTCAATGGTTCCACCCAACCACTTCATTCTCAGTTTTTCCTTATTCTCAACACATTCACTCTGTCTTCACACATTTCTTTGCAATTCAATCATCATTTAGTCTTTCAATAAAGACCAAATAATCTCAATATAATTAATTTGCCTATGCCTCATTTTTCAGTCAGACCATTTTTATTTTGTTTTCCCATTCATTCTTGATACAAACTCTTAAAAAATGGATCAATCTCACTCCTCCACTGTACACCAGTGTATCTGAAGTTCTTTATAAAATTATCATTTCTTGAAGGAAAGTTTTACATCACTTTCAGTATCCCTGAGGGCCTGTTAAGAAATCACATAAGGGGGGAAATCCTTCCAGCTATATAAGTTATATGTAAGTCTTTTCTTTGTTAATATAGTTTCCAGAATATATTCTGTGGTGGCTAAGAAGGTAAGAACAGAGATTATTTATTTGATTTGGACTGTAATCCTGGTTAAAGACTGGGCCCTTATCAATATCTGTAAAACTGATGTTTGTGAGGGAAAAAAAATCAAATTTCTCTGGGCTCAAAGGAGAAAATATTTACATGTAGAAGCTATGATGATAGATAACCAAATAGCTAACCAGCAAGAGAGACTGTGTGAATCAGAAATAGATAGATAGGTAGATAGGTAGATAGATAGATAGATAGATAGATAGATAGATAGATAGATAGATAGATAGATAGATAGATAGATGGATGGATGGATGGATGGATGGATGGATGGATGGATGGATGGATGGATGGATGGATGGATGGATGGATGGATGGATGGATAGATTAGAGATAGAGGTAGAGATAGATAGACAGGCAGACAGACAGATGAGCCATGATAGATGATAGATAGATAGATAGATAGACAGACAGACAGACAGACAGACAGACAGACAGACAGACAGACAGACCCACCCACCCACCCACCCACACACACACACAAACACACACACACACACACACACACATATGATGTTTTGGGACCCCAGATTACATATAGCCTTAAAAAGCATGTCAGGATTCAAACTCCTGTCATGGATATATTGATACTATGAAATACAATTCCTGTGAATGCAATGCTAAGGGTTTTTTTCTGTTGTATTAATCGGTTTGAATTGGGGAGGTGGGAAGGTTTCTAGGGACCCATTCAAGATGTAGTCTGGACCATTGATGATCCATCAGCCTTGAATTTTGCATCCTTCTCTTCTAAGAAAAGCACCTTATCTCCCAAAGGTTAATTCTTCCTACGAGATAAGAGGTATGAACTTAAGAAGTGAAAGATGGCAACCTTCTCCCATAATTGTGCATGAAACTTCTTTCTACTCATGCAATAGAAGAAAAGTTACTTCCTGGTCAAGTGATGACTTCACAAAAGCTGTTCTTGTGAAGGTAATTAAAATGATCACAACCTCATTTGTAAACTGAGAAGAGCATCTTAAAAGGCAGGAAAAACATTTTGCATTTCTCTTTTGAAGTTCAGCAGGTATTTGAGCCCTTGGAAGATAATAGAAAGGAATCAGGAAAGATCGTCCAATTATTTATCTGATTTATATTCTATTTTTCGTTCAGAAACTCAAACCTTCATGCATTTTTCCATATATCCCTCCCTCCGTTTTTTTTCCCCACCACAACAAATATTTCCCTGTTATGAAGTATGTAAATAGTAACATCTTTACATAAACTTAAATCATTTAAGAAGAGATTGGACAACCATTTGTCTGAAATGGTATAGGGTTTTCTGCCTGAGCAGGGGTTTAGACTAGAAGACCTACAAGATCCCTTCCAACTCTGTTATTCTATTCTATTCTATCTTCCATTTCCAGCTGAAGCATGAACAAAAATAAAAGAGTCAGTCTTCTAGCATGCATTGTTTGCAGCTGTTAAATATTATTTTGAAAAATGCAAAATGCCGAATCAGGAGTGATCTTTCTCCTTCTGAGCTTAAGTATATATGGATAACAATTGTGTGAGTCCGCTTTTTATACCTTATTTTGAAAGATAATAACTTGAGCTTGCAAGAACAATTCCCATATGAAATTTCAGATATTAATCCTGGGTATCAAAATATTATTTAAAATTCACTATCCTTTATTCAGGAAGATGTTTTTTTTTCCCCTTACATTTGGTTCTTTTTATTGCAGGAAAGAAGAAAATGGCCAATGCAACATTGGTTGAAGAGTTCATTCTTGTGGGATTTCCACAATTACGTGAGCTGAAAATGGTGTTTTGTACCGTAGGTCTACTGATGTACCTTCTATCACTTCTAGGGCATAGCTTAATCATCTTTGTTGTTATCATGGAACCCATGCTCCATACACCAATGTATTTCTTCCTCCTCAATTTCTCCCTTGCTGAGATCTGTTCCACATCAGCCGAAGTCCCCAAAATGTTGACCAATATCATCTTGGGTAAAAATACCATCTGTTTTTTTTGCTGCATGGTACAATTTTTCACAGTCTTTGCCATGGGAGGGGTTGAATTCCTCATGCTCTCCATCATGTCCTTTGATCGCTACATGGCCATTTGTAAGCCTTTATTGTATAAAACAATCATGACCAATCAATTCATCCTTCAGTTAGCTTTGGTGGCTTGGATCGGTGGTTTCCTGATCATCTTTTCTCAAACAGTAGTGATATGGACATTTCCTTATTGTAGGGATAATATCATTGACCACTTCTTTTGTGATGTTGGACCTGTTCTGAAATTGGCCTGTGCTGATACAACTCTGATAGAGCTAATTGGTCTCGTCTACGGTGCCACTTTCATGTGGGGGTCCCTTGGTTTTTCCCTGATATCATACATGCACATTGTAGCTGCTATCATTCGGATTTCCTCTGCCACTGGACGCTCCAAAGCCTTTTTCACCTGTGCATCACACCTGACCGTTCTAATCATCTTCTACACAGCAGACATGATTATGTACTTGCGTCCTTCTACACATGGTGATCCTCAACTCAATAAAGTCATATCTCTTGTACGCACAAGCTTTGTACCCATGTTAAATCCGTTCATTTACACAATCCGGAACAGTGAATTTAAGATAGCTCTTGACAAAACAGTGAGACGGATGGTGGTTCTCTAGGACTTAGGAATTTTTTTTATTTTATTTTTTAAAGGAAACTAAAAAAAAGTGATTTGTTATGGTTTTATACAATTATTAGCACTAATTAATTAAGTAGCAATACAATTATTAGGTTGTATATGACATACATTTGGTTTACTGCAAACACATTCTTGTTCTGAAATTTAAATAAAAAACAAAACAAGTGTTAATACCACTTTACAATGCTTTGGTAAGGCCACACTTGGAATACTGCATCCAGTTTTCTCACCGCGATGTAAAAAAGAGGTTGAGACTCTAGAAAAAGTGCAGAGAAAAGCAACAAAGATGATCGGGGGACTGAAGGCTAAAACATACAAGGAACAGTTGCTGGAATTGGGTATGTAAAGTTTAATGAAGAGAAGGATGAGGGGCGACATGATAGCAGTATTCCAATATTTCAAGGGCTGTCACAAAGAAGAGGGAGTCAAGCTATTCTCAGAAGCACCTGAAGGCAAGACAAGAAGCAATGGATGGAAACTAAGCAAAGAAAGAAGCAACCTAGAACCAAGAAGAAATTTCCTGACAGTTAATCAGTGGAACAGCTTGCCACCAGAAGCTGGGAATGTTCCAACACTGGAAATTTTTAAGAAGAGACTGGTCAGCCATTTGTCTGAAATGGTATAAGGCTGTGATGGCGAACCTATGGCATGCATGCTACAGATGGCACGCAGAGCCCTTTCTCTGGGCACGTGCACCGTCGCCCCAGTCCTAGGCCTTCAGTCTCGTCCATGAGCAACGTGCATCAATACCCACCCAGGGTAAGGTTGCCATGCCTGCCCCCACCTCCCCCAAGCATTTTGTTACTAACCTGCCTTTCAGCTGCATTCCATTTCTCCATTCACTTCTCAGCTTCGCCGCGTGTTTGTGGGACTATCAGTAAAAAAAAAAGTTCCATCAGACTTTCTAATCTTGCGAGATCTGAAAAAGTTAGAAAGTCTGATGGAACTTTTTTGTTTTTTTACTGATAATCCCCCATAACATGCGGTGAAGGCTGAGAAGCGAACAGAGAAACGGAATGCAGCTGAAAGGCAAGTTAGTAAAAAAACACTTGGAGGAGGCAAGGCATCTAGATGGGGGATGGGTGTGGCAACCTTAACCTGCATGGTGGTGAGAGGGTGGGATGTGTGCCCTTCCCATGCCAGGCCAGCCCCTGCAGCCCCAGGGGGGCATGCTGGGTGGTGGTTGGCAGGGCATTGAGGTGGGAGCTGGCAGGCCGACCAAAGCAGCAGGTGGAGCGTGGAGGCTCGGGGAGGGAGGGTGATGAAGTGGGCAGTCGGAGTGGAAAGTGGCCTCAGAACAAGTGGGGCAGGTAAGTAAAGAAATCCTCGCTCCCCTCAGAAACTGCCTTTCTTTCCTTACCTAACTCCCAGCTCCGTGCTGTTTCTCCTTTGCGGTCCACTGCAAGGAAACAAAGGAAGTTTTTTGGGAGAAAAAAAAGGTCAATCAATCAATTCCAACTTCTCGTGAAAGATTATTATCCCACTTTGGGTCCTGAAAGGTATGCAAGAAAACCACCATCCTCAGACACACACACACACCCTGGAACCCTTCATTTTAACTATGAACCAGAAAAATTCTCCTTGATTGGCATTCTGGACTGTCTCAGGGCAGAAGAATCTGCCTGGCAGGACCTCATTCCTCTTTCCCATGGGGCACATCCCAATGACCCCATCCTTCCTTCACCATTTCCTGGAGCCTAAAGGCCAATAAAGTTTCTCTCACCAGCTCTGGCACTCTGGCACTCCAAGCTGCTCCACCACCTCTTGGGGCTTCACCTAGATGAGGGCACCACAATCCCCATTCATGGATCGCGATGTTCCTCCAAAGGCTGACTGCATCCTCCCTCCCAGTGGCTCCCCTGACATTTCATTGCCTCAGCTCCACACAACCCCAAAATAACCTTCCAGGAGTAAATTCTCCTCCTTTTTTCTCTCTTACCCCATCCACCCTTCACAAATATATCACCCTTTTCATGCTCCCCTCCAGACCCATAACTGGGACCCCACTCCAGCAGCCCGAAGGGCTGGGTCCCTCGGTGATGATGGGGGTGATGTTGAGGACCAGCAGCACCAGTTTCCTTTTGACTGGCACAGCAGCAGCAGCAGAAGCAGTGGCAAAGGCTGAGGCTCGCATTCTGTAGCACCTAGTGAGGAATGCGCCTCAGAAGCAGCAGCAGCAGTGGCATTATCATCACCAGGCTTGGCTGCCCTAAGCGAGGCCGAGGCTGCAAGCGAGGCCTAAACCTCTCAGCCTGGTCCTGAGGTAAAAACATGAATAGGTAAGAGGAGGAAAGGAAGGGGTGTGGCCAAAGCGCGAGCCCACCCTTGAGTGCGCGAGGGAGAAACTGGAAAAAAAACATCTTCTTCCACCAACTCACCATCCCACCACTGGCTGGGGCTCTCGATACTATCCATCCACCCTCTCCTCATGATTGGACAGTTTGCCCGGGAGGTTGAGGCCATAATTTGAGGACCCCTGAGCTACAGGCAGAGAAGAGAACTTTGCAGCTCTGCCTATAGAGCCACCAAAGCAGGAGGTGGAGCGCCGGAGGCTTGGGGAGGGAGAGTGCTGAAGTGGGCAGTTGAACCATTGGCAAGAGCAATGTGTCTAAGCAGAAAGTGGCCTCTGAACAAGTAGGATAGGTAAGGAAAGAAATGCACGGCCCTCCATGTGACTGAGATAGGCAGCGCTGCCCCTCTCTGCCCCTCCCTAGTTTCCCAGAGCAGAATTGGGACCGTGCAAAAGAAGCCGGCTGAAACTGGTGCCTTGGACTACCCCCCGAGAACAGCACTTTGGAGGAAGGCCAAAGCACAGCACCCTTGCCAGAGAACTAGTCAGCCCCACTAACTATCATGTGAACCCCACGCTAAGAACGGCCCTGCCTAAACTAAGCTCAATCGGACAGGAAAGTTCCAATCCGATGGAGGCTCCTGCAAAGTCAGCTTGGTCATTGGGATCACGCAGTTCACTGGGCTTCGCCCTCCCAAGCTATTCATTAAGAACCAGGCAGCACTTGGCTTGCAATCGGTTGCACAAAACAGGTGGATAGGATTGCAGCCAAAGATAGTAGGATGTTAGAGCAGCCAACTCTGGTCTCCACCCGGGTGGGCGAGCGAAACCCTGAAACCTTTTGCATTCCTTTGGAAAGAGAAGATGCTGGTGGCACATGGTCCGTGGGGGAAAGACAGTTCTGGAGGGAGGCAGCCACGCGGCCAGAAGACAGCAGTCCCAGCAGAGCGGCACGGGAGACCTACTGGTTGCCATGGGAGGCTCCAGCGTTGCCGCAAGCCTCGTTGGCAAGCTGAGAAAATATACATACATCTACTAATACAGCAGGATGCAGCAAACCACAGTTAAAGTAGGAAACGGAAAGAAGAGAACACATCGGTGGAATCTTCCCTTTATACAAAGGCTCTTAAAGAGACACAGACCCTGCTGAGTCATCCCCATCATTACATCTTAAATCTTACATTACATAAGATGGTTAGCTGATATTTCTACTGCTAAGCAAGACAGTTGAGTTTTGCCCCATTTTACAACCTTTCTTGCCACAGTTAAGTGAATCACTGCAATTGCTAAGTTAGTAACATGATTGTTAAGTGAATTTGGCTTCCCCATTGACTTTGCTTGTCTGACGTTTGCAAAAGGTTATTGCATGACCCCGGGACACAGCAACCGACATTAACAAGCCGGTTGCCAAGCATCTGAATTTTCGTCATATATAGTAGCTATGGTGATGTTGAAAGGGTCATAAGTTATTTTTTTCAGTGCCATTATAACTTCAGACGGTCACTGAACAACTACCTGTAATTCATTGCATCTTTTTTGCTTGGACATCAAATGACCTCTTAAAAAATTAGATGGAAGGGGAATCTAGATGAGACCACTGATATGGTCCATCCATAATATCACTGTAGTCAAGTGGAAAGAAATTGTGTTATTTAAGGCAAGTAAGTCCCTCCCCTCAAACACCTGAATTTTTAAGGAAAAGAAATGCAAGAAATATCTTGAGAACATTGATTGATTGACTGATTGATTTTTTTATGCTATCCATCTCTCTGATACCAACAACAATAGCACTTAGATTTAGATACCGCTCTATAGTGCTTTACAGCATTCACTAAGTGGTTTACAGAGTCACATATTATCCCCAACAATCTGGGTCCTCATTTTACCAACCTCGAAAGGATGGATGGTTGAGTCAACCTTGAGCCCATCAGGATTGAACTACTGGCATTGGGCAGAATTGGCCTGCAATACTGCATTCTAACCACTGGTCCACCTTGGCTCTTCATGTTGATATTGTGATTCTCGGTGGCTATACTTTGCAAGATAACCCATAAACCACAAGAACACTGCTTTGGTCTCACTTAATGAACCATTGTATCAGAAGTACAACCTTCAGTAAGGCATTATCCTAATTTATGAAAACCACATAAGCTGCCATAGCAAACCAATACTTTTCTGTTGTATCTACTTGTGTGTACAAAACAATGGCATTTTTACAATAGCTGCTCACAGTTTGTGTTTATCACTAAAATTAATATGATTTCAAACTTGATTAATATAATAAATATCAATATCTCTTTTGTAATGTACTGTTCTATATGTCATTCTCGATAATTTTGTCTTCATTTACAGAATTCAATAAATCTTTATTGACTTGATGTAGAGTATTTTTGCTGGACATTTCAGAGTGATCCAACTATTAATATGTCATCCATTTTTTAAAATAAAGATTCCATTATCAAAATCTCCTAAGATTAATTACAATAGGATAACTCACTTTGTTTAAGAGCTCTCAGAGTAATGGAAACTTTCCTTAATCATAATTTCTCTTGGGAATTTTCCCACTTAGAGATAACTCCCTCTGGTTATTATCAAGCAGTTGGAAGAAAAATGTGGATAGGAAAAGTTTGAAGGAGACAAATTTGGCTATAATTTCTCAGTGGAAATTATAGAAAGTGGCCAGAACTAATGGCCATAAGAAACCTATGGCCATTTCCATATTGTCTCCCAAAAGCATATTTATTTTATCAAATACAGGTAGTTATCGACTGACAATGGTTCATTTAGTGACTGTTCAAGGTTACAATGGCACTGAAAAAAGTGACTTACAACCGTTTTTCACACTTATCACTGTTGCAGCATCCCCATGTTCATGTGATGATGATGATGATGATGATAATAATAATAATAATAATAATAATAATAATAATAATAATAATAATAATAATAATTTGTAAGGGAGCACAAGGAGCCCCAATTCCAGAACAGCCCCTCCCCACTCTCCTCCTACCCCCTCGGAAGAGCTGTGGGAATCAGGAGCCTTCCCTCATGTCCCCCATGGCCCTAGTGAAAAAAAACATCGTGAGACACTCTTCTGATTTAACTTTTTTTCCTTGTCGCTTTTTGGCGTTTTCATCCTGCTTTTGTGAGACGGCAGTGTTTGGGAAGGGGCGTAGCTGCCCCCTTCCCCCCAAGCCATCAGCTGAGCAAGATACCCTCCTGCCCACTGACTCATCCACCAGAGACCCCCTGGATCTCCCCCAACCCTGCCCGCTCCTCACAGGCATCCATCCCTAGGAGCAACACTGAGCTGGCCACACCACCCTGGCCACGCCCACCCAGTCTGCCATGACCACCATAGCCAAACCCTCCCAGCGGGCCTCACCCACCCGGCACCCAGCAATACATAAGTAGGTTTTGGGTAGCAGTTTGGGCACTCGGTCTCTAAATGTTTTGCCACCACTGGCCTAAGGGAAACTATTACATCAGTTACAACATCCCTGAGGAGCTATTAATAAATAACAAATTAATAAATGTTAATAAATAACATTTTCTGACTATCCTCTCTTATGGAACAGAGTTATATGTAGAATCTTCCTGTGTTAAAATTATCTTCTGTTTGATGATGGCCTGAAGGGTAAGAAAGGTGATTCTATAGTTTTCTTGTTGAATATGTTGCTGTTGACAATTCTGTTCAGTATGTATAAATTCTGTTGAAATATCAACCTAAGCAAGTTTCTATATTATGACTGCAGACCCTCTTCCTACTGAGATTAAGCATATCACCCAAATATGTAAAACTTTGATGTATGGAAAATTGACAAGGCTGAACCTAATTTAAAATCTCAGGTTCAAAACCGGTGAAGTAAATGCAACATGGAAATTGCTTGGGATCTAAGGTGTAGAATTGAAAGAGGTTGGGAAAAAAAAAACAGCAAGGGACATTGATTTGTTTTGCTAAATCCCACTGTGGACAGCTTTCTAGCTAGGGAGGAACAGGAGTTTCATAAGTGCCCTGATTCTTGCAGTTGTCAGTATGATGGTCCAAGAGATGGAGATACAGAGAGAGAGAGAAGGAGAATCCTACCTGCTCCATCTTTAAGACTCTAGAAAGAGTGCAGAGAAGAGCAACAAAGATGATCAGGGGACTGGAGGCTAAAACATATAAGGAACGGTTGCTGGAATTGGGTATGTCTAGTTTAATGAAGAGAAGGACTAGGGGGGACATGATAGCTGTGTTCCAATATCTCAGGGGCTGCCATAAAGAAGAGGGAATTAAGCTATTTTCCAAAGTGCCTGAAGGCAGGACAAGAAGCAAGGGATGGAAACTAATCAAGGAGAGAAGCAACCTAGAACTAAGGAGAAACTTCCTGACAGTGAGAACAATTAACCAGTGGAACAACCTGCCCCCAGAAGCGGTGAATGCTCCAACACTGGAAGTTTTTAAGAAGAGACTGGACAGCCATTTGTCTGAAATGGTGTAGGGTTTCCTTCCTGAGCAGGGGATTGGACTAGATGACCTCCAAGGTCCCTTCCAACTTTATTATTATTATTATTATTATTATTATTATTATTATTATTATTATTATTATTATTATTAATTTTAGGATTCTACGATTTGGAATTGGCTGGCTTATTTCATTGATATAACATTATAGATAAAGAGATCTATGACCATCCTTTTTAAAAGAATTCCTTGTAAATCTCTCTGGAGATTCTCAGTCATCCAGGTCATGGCTGCCTCAAAGGTGCTTTCTTTCTAAAGGAAACTGGACGTTCTTGTTTAGCTTGAAAACGTTTCATTTCTCATTCAAGAAGCTTTCTCAGAACTGAAGAAGTGAGAAAAAATAACTCCTCTTTGGAAACTTAAAAGTAGATTACTATCTGCAACCTTCTAAAGATTTGAACAGATCATAACATAGGAATAGTTTGGCTTTGGGGCTGTTTCAATCAAGGAGGTCTTTACCTGGAATCTCATGAGATCATGGAGGGTGACAGCAAGATCCCAGAGAAGGAAACAGCTGCTTTGAGTTGAGGGAAGGAAGTACAACATCCGAAGTCTCAAAGATGAAATGAACCATATTTTGATTATTTTTTAATGTTACCACTGCACAATTCTACCAATTCTTCTCCTCTGATGCTCAAATCATTTTCTCCAATCTCCTCCCAGCCTTCTTTCCTTCTCTGTTCTTTCCCCCCAAAAAGTAAGATGAGACTGGGATATGAACTTAAAGAAGCTATGTTTAAAAGCAAAGCTGATTGAAGCTAAGATTCATTGCCCCAAGGTAAATCAAGGTTCACAATGCCCAAATCCTGGTTCCAGGCAGTTCCAATCACCCTCCTGACAGTCAAATAATAATAACAACTGAAATCACTAACAAGAGAATCTGCTTGAATTTAGAGTTGGCTCATCGTTTAGGTATGCAGAAACTCTGGACTCTTTGGAATGCCTGTTTTCTTAATCGCTGACTTAAGATGTTTTTAATTTTCCCATCCTCAAAATAATACAAATATACACCATCATTTATGCATAAAAATGATGAACGTAGACACTGGACAATTGTATTTGTTTGATCTGATTGGCACACCCAAAGGACCAAGATAATTGCAAAGGTTTATAGTAGGTTCAAAGAATAAGACTGGTGTTGGTAAAAGTTTATCTGATTATTCAGACAAAATTAATATATCACTATTTCCATGGGTATTCTTTTTAGTCTTTCTTTTGCTTTCTTAACAATCATAATATGAGCATGGAAAGACTCTTCTCTTATGAGATTTTAGATATCAATTCTGTATCTCAAGATGTTATGTGATGCCTCCCAAATTAACTACCCTCCTTTATTTATCTATGGAGATTCTCAGTAATCCAAGTCATGGTTTTCTCAAGGATGCTTTTTCAAAAGGCCACTGGACTTTCTTTGTTTTTTCTTGAAAACATTTTGCTTCTCATCCAAGAAGCTTCATCAGTTCTGACTGAATGGTGGGGGAGATGGAAGGATTAATTCTGACAGGAAGAACTAATCCTTCCATCCCTTCTCTCCCCCAATGACCATCTAGTCAGAACTGAAGAAGCTTCTTGGATGAGAAGCAAAATATCTTCAAGGAAAAATAAAGACAGTCCAGTTGCCTTTTGAAAAAGCACTTTTGAGACCTCCTTTACTTAGTAAGTTATTTTTCTCCTTAAATGTGTTCTTCTTTTATTTCAGGAAGAAAGAATATGGCCAGTGTAACTTCTGAAATATCAGTCCAAACACTGAAATATAATGTTGTGCACCTGAATTTGACTTTTCACATACTTCCTTGTGTAATGTATTACAAATGATGAAATGAAATACCCTTTTCACTTAAATGTGTAGATGTTATAACAATAATTCTGAAATGATGGAGCCTAGGAATATGTCCAGAGTGAGTGAATTTATCCTGTTAGGAATTCCCTTTCTGTATGATCTTCACCGAGTCTTCTTCGTAGTGGGTCTATTCATGTACCTTGTAACCATCCTTGGGAATGGCTTCATCCTTATCATTGTAGCAATTGAGCCAAGACTTCAGACACCAATGTACATCTTCCTGAGCAACCTTGCTTTCCTGGAGATCTGCTATACCTCCACGGTGGTACCCAAATTGCTACAGACATTTATAGAAGCCAAAACCACCATTTGCTTCCATTGCTGTCTGGCTCAAGGATTTTTTCACTTTTGTTTTGGTACCACAGAGCTCTTCATCCTCACAGCTATGTCTTTTGACCGCTATCTGGCCATCTGCAAGCCGCTTCAATATCCCATCATTATGTCCAAACACATGTCCCTTCAAATGTCTTTGGCCACCTGGTATGCTGCCTTTGGGATTATCTTTTTTCATTATTTTATTGTTTGGAGAATGCCATTCTGTGGGTCTAATATTGTTGACCATTTCTTCTGTGATATTGGTCCTCTGTTGAGCCTTATGTGTGCTGATACTCATCTCATTGAGTCCCTCAGAATATTGACTATCTTTGTCGTTGTGATTATGACCTTACTTCTCATGATTCTGTCCTACATTTTTATCATTGCCACCGTCTTGCGCATTCCCTCTGCCGTAGGGCGGAAAAAGGCCTTCTCCACCTGCACCTCTCACCTGTTGGTGGTGTCCATCTTATATGGAGCTCTTGTCTTCATGTACGTGAGGCCCAACGTCCAGTCCTCATACCGCTTGACAAGAACTGTGGCGATCTTGAACACCACTCTTACCCCAATGCTGAATCCTTTCATATACACAATTCGGAATGCCGAAGTCAAAAAAGCTGTCCAGAACATAATCCATAAAAGGAAAGGGACCTTAAATTGAGACAATGCATGGAGAAATAGTTCTAGCACTTTCTTATGCAACAGGAATGAGATGAACTTTAGAGAATTGCGGCATTGGTGACATTTTGAGTGTGGCAATCAGAATTCAATTGGCAGTTTCAGACTTAAAAACACTAACTGTCATAAATATAAGTCAGTGGTTAAGCCTCTCAGTTTTGATCATGTGACTATGGGGATGCTACAATGGTCGTAGGTGTAAAAAACAGTCGTAAGTCAGTTCTTCCAGTGCCACTGTAACTTCAAGTGATCACTAAACAGAGGTTGATGCTCAAGATTTGTAAATCCTGAACAGGTTAACAGCATTTGTTGTGATTCTTTTGTGTACAATACAATCCATAGTAAGAAATTAACTTTTTTATAAAGGAAAGTGGGGGTGGGGGTTTCCCCTGTATTTCTTAGAATTTATATCCCAGCTTTCTTCTTGAGTGGCACTCAAAAGCTAAATAAATTAAGGGGGGGGGGAAGAATCATTCAATCTAAACATGTTTATAAGACAATAAAAATGTCCAGAAAATTAGCAAATCTCAGAACAAACTGTATTGTGACTTTGACAGATCTGTCTTTTATCTAGTCATTAGTCCATAAAAAGGAAGGGCCCTCAAAGTGGAAAACTGAAATGGTGCAACAGTTTTTTCCATGCAGTGCTTTGCAGAATAAAAGGATGATACTAGAACCAAAGTTCCCAAATGTTGTAACTGAAATGTAATTTTGGATTTAATTTATCCTTTTCTTACTTTTTAAATAATAAAAAAATGAGAATGAATATCAGTAAATGAATGATTGTAAGGACTCCTGTGAGTATTTTTTTTAAAAAAAGAAACAATGCATATAAGAGCAGTTTCACCAGACATTTCAAGATTGACTCTATCCACAATATGGAGATTCTTTTTGATGTCCTCACAATGAACATCTGCATACACAAAGCACAGTGTGCAGTTTCAGTTTCTCCCAGTTGCATACAATTAACTATTCCTTGATTCCAGTTAAAAGTCAGGATTTCCACCACATTACGGCAAATCCACCTGACCAGAGGGTTAGACTAGAAGATCTACAAGATCCCTTCCAACTCTGTTATTCTATTCTATTCTATCTTCCATTTCCAGCTGAAGCATGAACCAAAATAAAAGAGTCAGTCTTCTAGCATGCATTGTTTGCAGCTGTTAAATATTATTTTGAAAAATACAAAATGCCGAATCAGGAGTGATCTTTCTCCTTCTGAGCTTAAGTATATATGGACAACAATTGTGTGAGTCTGCTTTTTATATCTTATTTTGAAAGATAATAATTTGAGCTTGCAAGAACAATTCCCACATGAAATTTCAGATATTAATCCTGGGTATCAAAATATTATTTAAGACTCACTATCCTTTATTCAGGAAGATGTTTTGTTTTTTTTTTCTTAGATGTGGTTCTTTTTATTGCAGGAAAGAAGAAAATGGCCGATGCAACGTTGGTTGAAGAGTTCATTCTTGTGGGATTTCCACAATTATGTGAGCTGAACATGGTGTTTTGTACCATAGTTCTACTGATGTACCTTCTATCACTTCTAGGACATACCTTAATCATCTTTGTTGTTATCATGGAACCCATGCTCCATACACCAATGTATTTCTTCCTCCTCAATTTCTCCCTTGCTGAGATCTGTTCCACATCAGCCAAAGTCCCCAAAATGTTGACCAATATCATCTTGGGTAAAAATACCATCTGGGTTTTTTTCTTTTTTTTTCTTTTTTGCTGGTGGTACAAATTTTCACAGTCTTTGCCATGGGAGGGGTTGAATTCCTTATTGATTCATTTAGTGAGTGTTCAAAGTGCCAGGCTATTTGCGAGACCGCCTACTACCTCATAGTTCCCTTCGTCCGGTTAGATCCCACAGGCTGGGCCTCCTTCAGGTCCCGTCGGCCAAGCAGTGCCATTTGGCAGGGCCGCGGAGGAGGGCTTTCTCTGTGATGGCACCCACGTCTTGGAACCAGCTCCCCCCGGAGATTAGGACCGCTCCCACCCTGTTGGTTTTCCGTAAGCTGCTTGAGACCTGGCTTTTCTGGCAGGCCTGGGGTTTATAAAATCTGACCCCTAGATGACTGTTATTGTACTGTTTGTTTTGTCATGTTTTATGTTGTTTTTATTGTTAGCCACCCAGAGTCCTGCGGGAGTGAGCCAGTTTATAAATTTTAAAAATAAATAAATAAATAAATAAATAAATAAATAATGTCACTGAAAAAGTGACCTACAACCATTTTTCACACTTATGACTGTTGCAGCAGCCCCATGTTCCTAAATAAAAATAAAAATAAATAATAAAAATAAAAAAAATAAAAATAAAACTAATAAAAATAAATAAAAATAATGTTGTAAGGGACCTTGGAGGTCATCTAGTCCAATCTCCTGCTCAGGCAGGAAACCCTTTACCATGTGTGAAGAAAACCCTATACCATATGTCATGGTTCTGACAGACAGAGACAAATAAAGCAGAACTCTGAGGCTTGCAAGCTCCTCAAAGAACATGTTTAATGATACCAAGTATCAGCACATGAAAAGTGAAACCAAGTCTGAAACGACAGGTAACAATCCCCAATACAAAGTTAAGAAATCCCACCTCTAAAGCTATGCAAGCTACTACATTCTCCAATACATCTTCTTGGGCAGGCTTTTCACAAAACGCACAGCCTGCAGTCCCAGGAGCAGCCAATGACCTTGGTTCCCATGGGAGAAAATCTGTGTAGTCTAGAGAAGCACCTGGTAAACCCCCCTCCCTCCCTGCTATGTGTCAATCAAAAATGAGTAGGGAAAGTGGCTGCAGCCATGCTCATTTTCAAAGTTGACACCATGGGTGATGAAAACCCTATACCATGTGTGATGAAAATTCACACTTGGCAACTGACTCACATTTATGTCAATTGCAGTGTCCCAGGGTCATGTGATCCCATTTTGCAGCCTTCTGACAAGCAAAGTCAATTGGGGAAGCCAGATTCACTTAATAACCATATGACTAACTTAACAACTGCAATGATTCACTTAGCAACTGTGACAAGAAAGGTTGTAAAAAATGGGGCAAAATTCTCTTAACAAATGTTTCACTTAGCAACAGAAATATTGGGCTCAATTGTGGCCGTAGGTTAAGGTCTACCTGTATATATGGTCATCCATCTCAAAGAAAGTGACTCTGGATGGTGTAGAACTTTAGAGAGTTATAGTTAAACATTTCTTAGGTATGTGTGTGTGGTGTGTGTGTGTGTTTGTGTGTGTGTGTGTGATTTTTTAGGTATATATATATATATATATATATATATATATATATATATATATATATATATATATATATATACCTTAAAAATCACATAATCAAAGAGGGGACAAAACAGGACTCTAAAACTTTAACCACATCTATTTTGAATTCTTTCCTAAAATGTGGTCAGCCTGAACAAGTTTGTTCTACGGCGTTTCCTGCCTGAGTGGGGGGTTGGACTACATGACCTCCAAGGTCCCTTCCAACTTTATTATTATCATTATTATTATTATTATTATTGTTGTCAGCTAAGAGTATTTGAAGAAGAGCTAAAAAAAAGGAATTGGAATCACATGGCTAACTCTCATCTCCTTTTTAACTTTGTAAAATGTGTCAAACTGATAACAGGTGGTTATCATGAGTATAAACTTCTTTTATCTCTCTGCACAATCATGAGTATAAACTTCTTTTATCTCTCTGCACTGATGTCCCTGAGAGCAGCTTTCAAAGCAAAGAAATATTTAGAATAAAATAGAGCTGGAAGGGACCTTGGAGGTCTTCTAGTCCAGCCCCCCGCTTAACTTTATTTCAGCATTAATGTTTGCAATTGAAGAAGACAGCCTGATCCTCTACACATTTCCTTTGTTTTTTAACATCAACCTATCTGATATTAGGTAAATATATAAATTATTCACATCCATGACAGCCTGAAAAAAATATATAGGAATTGTGTCCTTTTCTCTGAATTTTGTTGCATCGAAACGTGAGTAGGTAAAGCATTGTGTACAGAGGCAAATGAAATTCACCGGAAAAGGGTCAAGGATGAAATTCATCTTTATAAAATCGTACAAATAAGAAAATGGATATGTTTTGGTTATGACCGCAAAGTATGGGTTTGGTGTGACAGTTTTGGTATTTCCATAAATTAAGGATAATGCTGTATTGAGGAATGCACTTCAGAGAGTGTTTTAGTTTAGTTAGACCAAAGCAGTATTATGGGAATAAAAGTTGTTCTTCTTATGTTATTTTCTTCAGATATTATCTTCTAAAGGCTTGGCTTCCTATCCTAATCAATATTCTTGTATCTAAATGTTTCCAAGAGACAGTGGCCCATTTGTTTTCCTTAAAAATTCAGGTCTTTATGGGGAAGGACTTACCGTATATGCCGGCATATTAGGCAACCCGGCGTATAAGACGACCCCCATCTTTGTCGCTGAGCTACATTCCTAGAACCAGTATTTCTGGCGTATAAGACGACTCGGCATATAAGACGACCCCTGTCTTTGGCGCCGAGTTTAGCGCTTGTGGAAGTCGTCTTATATGCCGGCATATATGGTACTTACCTTAAATAGCACAATTTATTTCCATTTGACTACTATGATATGATATTACAGATGAACAATTCCCCTGGTCACCATTAAACTCCTATTCATCTATTTTTTTAAAAAAAGTCCTTTTAACTCCAAACAAAGAAGATGCTTTCATGATCTCCCAAACCACCACTCTCTACTACGCTCTTTATGTATAAAAATATCACTGTGACTTCTTGAAAGTCTTACTAAAGACTTTTCCCTAAATGCTGTTGAAGTTGTTACCTGGCCTGATAACAAAACATTTGGAAACCAACCCATAAGCTAGAATGAACCTTCAACTTCAACCTCAGTCTTACTAAAGTGTCATGCCTCTGATCCGAGCCTGACTCTGAGGAAGACATGGAGTTCCCTGTTGAGGCCCAGGAAGGGGTGTCTGTTGCTTCTGAGGACTGTGGGGAGGAGCAGGCTGAGGCAGGCCAGGGCCCTTCAGGTTTGGAACAGGGAAGGCAGAGTTCAGGCGAAGAGCAAGGCCCCTCCCCACCAAATCCTAGAGCAGTGGTTCTCAACCTGGGGGTCGGGACCTCATTTGGGGTCGAACGACCATTTCACGGGGGTCGCCAAACAATGCAGTCCGCCATTTTTTCCCCTTTTCCTTAGCTGTGCTACTCCCTTTTATTCTATTGGCTTTTGAAAGCCAATAGAATAGACTCTCTTGAATAGAGTCTAATTCTATTGGCTTTCAAAAGCCAATAGGAATTGTCCAGGCTGTCTCTGCCCTGCTGAGCCCGCCAAAAGTCCCATTCTGCAAACGGTGCTGCACCAGTTGAGTAGTCCTCAACTTACGACCGATTGAGTAGTCCTTGACTTATGACCGGTTGGGGGGTCGCAGCATTAAAAAGGTTGAGAACCACTGTTCTAGAGCAAGGAGAGCAGAGAGGAGGAGGGAACAATGGAGGCAGGCTCACTTGCTCGGGAGGAGAGCATCCCGCCCCACTCCACAAGGCACACCTGGGGAGTAGGATTTAAGGAGACGCTGTGGGGTGGGGCATTTGCCGGGAACAAACGTGAAATCTTGAGATAGTGTGCTCTTGTAACCTGAACACTTTGTATTCTGGACCAGCTTGCTTCCTGCTGATCTCACCTTACAGTCTGTAGTTTGCAGTTCACAGGCAAGCTGGAGTTAAAAGGATTATACGTTTGCTTGTTATCTGTCTTGCTTTAAGAACAGTGTAAACTTCCCTGGCTGCTTTGTTTGAACTCGTGCCAGCATATATGGGGGCTGTTGGGTGAACATTGGCAGTGATTGCTCTGGCCAGCTGATTACTTTGCCTCCGTTCGGGGCTCTGGATCATCACACTAAAGTCCCAGTTGAGTGGTTTGATGGCCTAGAAAAAGCTAGTTCCAAAAAGAACCGCTTCTAATTAATCTGCTCATTGTTGTTGTTCAGTCACTAAATTGAGTCTGACTCTTTGTGACCCCAATGGACCACAGTATGCCAGGCCTCCCTGTCTTTGTCTGTCTCCTGTCCAAATTCATTTTTGTTGTACTTCCTTTTCCTTTCCCCTTCAATCTTTCCCAGTTATCAGGGTCTTTTCCAATGAGTTGGCCAAAGTGTTTGAGCTTTAGGTTCAGTATGTCCTTCCAAAGGACAGTCAGAATTGATTTCCTTTAGGATTGATTGATTTGAACTCCTTGCAGTCCAAGGGACTCTCAAAAGTCTTCTCAATGATCAACCCATATTTCTCAGCTTGACCATGGATTTTTTTTCCTGATGATTCCTTTCCATTATTTGAATATTGTCCTTTGAAAACCTCCATACTGTACATAAACTACTAATTGGCAGGAGGGAAACTACCACATCACATGTGCTATCCCTGAGGAACTCTAAAGAAATCACATGAGGAAAAAAAATCTTCCAACTCATCACTGTGACTGAATGCAGTTATATGTAGAAACATTCCTCTCTAAATGTATCTCCAGAACATGTTTGATGCTTGCTACAAGATAAGAAAGAATATTCTATATTTGATGTGGTTTGTAAGATCTTTTACAGTTATGGTAATTTTGGGGTTGGGTGAAATCATTTTGAGATTCAAATGGATCTTTATCAATAGCTGTAAGATTTATGAGAAAAGATCATTTTTTTTTATTTGCTCAAAGCTTTAAATGTAGAACTCTAAATACTCAGAAAGTATCAATATGATAGATAAATGATAGAGACAGAGTATTGTAGGATGTATATAATTCCCTAAAAATTATAGATACATAAAGGTTTTAGAGTTCCAGGTTACACTTGGCCTTGAACATCAAGAGATATAGAAGAATTTGCAAGTCCATTAGTGGCCATCAGCCTTGATTTTTCATTCTGAAGAAGAAGAAGAAGAAGAAGAAGAAGAAGAAGAAGAAGAAGAAGAAGAAGAAGAAGAAGAAGAAGAAGAAGAAGAAGAAGAAGAAGAAGAAGAAGAAGAAGAAGAAGAAGAGAAGAGGAGGAGGAGGAGGAGGAGGAGGAGGAGGAGGAGGAGGAGGAGGAGGAGGAGGAGGAGGAGGAGGAGGAAGAGGGATGTAGCTTCTTTCTAGCAATTTTAAGAGGCTGGCATTGGGCTGGTGTTTGAACTAGATTATGGCTACTAGACTAGAACCTTATTGATTGTCCTTCCCAAAGCCTCAGGGATGGGTGGGTGGGTGGGTGGATGGATGGATGGATGTATAGATGACTTCTATGGCTGACATCCAGCCAATGTTTTGGTGGAAGCTTAGTATACCCTGTAGTTTGCTTGCTTATTAAATATATGCTGTATCTTCAAAGCAGTTTGGTATTTCTAAATGAGACTGGATTTATCCAGGACAGTTTGGCATCATGACTCAAATTTTCAGGGTGAGAGAGGAGACAATAAATCATTTGCAATGTGCTCAACACTTTGCAGGCTTATGGGTTGTTGTTGTTTTTTTTCTGCTTTGCTTTTCCTATCCAATCTTGAACCCAGTTTGTTAGAAGATAACATTTGAGGGAATTTTAATTTGGCCATTTTAATTTTTAATTTATTTGGATTTGCCCATGCTATCTTTGGGCCAGTGGAACACTGCAAAGGCAGCTTAAAGGTTTGTATGGGAAGGGTTCCTACAAGATGTGGGACTCCAGTTGAAAGCACCATGACAGGTTCTGCACATCTGACCCCAGTGCAAGCACAAATAGGTGCAAATTTAAAATTCTGCATAGACAAGTTGAGATAAATTTGGATTGTTGGTGGCTGACTCTGCAAGGACATTAATAAAGGGGTGGTGCTGAAAGAGTAAATAGAAAGATTAAGATTAAGGTCAGGTAGGAAAATGGACAAGACATCTACTTCCATGAATTAATTAATTAATCTCACCCAGCTTTAAAGCCTTTTTACTAACTGAAAAGCAGGAGAGTACAGTTCTTACCTTGGAGTAACTGATCAGAGATGGCTAAAAACAGATACAAATTCCAGAGATACAAATTATGAAATACAATTCTTTTGTAGAGGAATAAAAAAGAAATTCTTTCAAATTACAACTGCTTCCTGTCTACAAATATTCCTCACCATTCCTACATCTTTTCAGTTTTTCCTGCATTAATGTAAATTAATTCTCTCTCTGTGTGTATATATTTGTGTGTGTGTGTGGAGGTGAGAGGTTGCATGAATAGACTACATTTTTTAAATCACTTTGTGAAGGCACTCAATAATATTACACACCACAGCGAAGTTATCAAAGTGTTTGTCCACAAAGTTTAATACTCTCAATTAAAAAAAAGAAAAAGTCAACATTATAGGCTGTCCTTCAAAAATATTAAATTAAAGAAGGAAGATTGTGTCAGTTTTATTTTTTCCCATATTAGATTTCAGAAAGAACTAAACAAACCCTGAACTGTGTGCAATATTTCAGTGAGGAAAAATGGTGATAACATTTTATGAGGAAAAATGAATTTCCTGCTTCAACTCCCATCCTGAATCAAATAGACACAGATTCTCTGAGAGTGGTGGTGACATTTCTGAAACCACTAATTAATCAACAGTTGTATGAGTAAAAAATATTAAACAGTTCAGCAACCCTGCATAGCAATTCACTTCAGTCATTGATGCAATTAACCTTTGCTCAGATCTCATTATATGCCTTGTTTCTTTCTTACACCACAAATGATAATAAATTATTGTATCTTTTTAGAAAAGAAAAAGGCAATGTCAAATGCTACATTTTTCAATGAATTTATTCTTCTGGGATTTTCTGAATTAGATGAAATTTATCTGGGATTTTCCACTCTCCTGCTTTTGATGTACCTTCTGTCACTTATGGGACATGCCTTAATCATCTTAGTGATTTCCATGGAACCTAAGCTCTGTACGCCAATGTATTTCTTCCTACTCAACTTCTCCATAGCTGAGATTTCTTCCACAACATCAGAGATACCAAAGATGTTGGTCAATAGCTTCTCTGGTACAAACACCATCTGCTTTGCCTGCTGCATGATCCAAGGATTTGTGGTCTTCACAATGGGAGCTGTGGAATTCATTACCCTCACGATCATGTCTTTTGACCGCTATGTGGCCATCTGCAAACCTTTGTATTATCAAACCATTATGACTAGTGGACTCTGTCTCAATCTGTCTTTGCTGGCATGGATTGGTGGGTTTGGACTCATATTTCCTCAGTCGGTCGTAGTGTGGACATACCCCTATTGCGGGCACAATAAGATTGATCATTTCTTTTGTGACATTGGTCCAGTTCTGAAGTTGGCTTGTGCTGATACAATAGTGATTGAGCTAATAGGATTCCTTTATGGTGCTATTATAATGTGGGGTTCCTTTGGGTTCTCTCTGATTTCATATATGTGCATTATAAACACCATACTTCAGATCCCTTCTGGCACCGGGCGGTCCAAAGCTTTTTTCACCTGTGCTTCCCATCTCATTGTTCTAACCATCTTCTATACAGCAGATATGCTTATGTACTTGAAACCTTCAACACACGGTAATACACGACTCAATAAGTCAATCTCTCTTGTGCGCACCAGCTTTGTACCCATGTTAAACCCTTTCATCTACACAATCCGGAACAGTGAATTCAAAACAGCTTTGTGGAAAACAGTAACCAAACATAGGAGTTTCTAACATGTTGCCTGACGCTAAATACCTAGGTGTTTCCATTACCTCTCTTTCTGAAAGAGAAATATGGAGTCCTTGGTGCTTTCTGAACCTGGTTGCTTTCTTGCAGACATTTCATTACCCAAATGGGTAACATCTTCAGCATTGCTAGCCCTGACGATGTTACCTAATTGGGTGATGGAATGTCTGCAAGAAAAAAACCAAGCTTTTCTGTCAAAAAAGAAAATATTTTGTAATCCTCATCGCTTCTGTCTGTGGGATCTCATTCAGTGGTTGCATATCCTTCTGGGAAACTACGACATTATGTATTAAACTATGAATTCTTTAAAATATTTCATGAATCTTGAGCAGTCTTTGTCCATTTGACAATGTTTACTTGCTCAAAGCAAATTTCTTTCTTCCTATTATTTTGAGCAGTCATCAAGTATGATATCAGCTGTTGGCTTTTGACTATGCTTGTTTAATGACCTTGTGATTCACTTAACAACCATAGTGATTCACTTAACAGCGGGGAAAAAGGTTATAAAATCAGGTTGTGGTTCAGTTAACAGTCATCATGCTTAGCAATGGAAATTGTTTGCAATTGTGGTCATAAGTTGAGGATTACCTGTATTCAGTTTACTGGAGGGTCTCAGAAACATAAGTAATGTATAAGAAGGTGAATGATCCTGTTCTCAGTCTGACTTCAAGAGAATAAATTTCTTCAAGAATGAGGAACTCTGAGTAATTTCCCCTTTTCTATCTACTTTTGGTTAGGAAATGTGAAGGAAGACTGAACAGCTCCCATCATTTTTCACAGATCACTGCCTCCCATGTAATTTAATTTAGTGAGGGTGAAGGTTTGTTCTCCAAGCTTATGGCTTGGTTTCTAAACATTTCATTACCAGGCTAGGTGACGTATTCACCACTATTGCAAATTTAATTTAGTATCTGAAAAATAACATGAACCTTGTGACTTTGAAGAGTTTGAAGAGATTTTTCTTCCTCCCTTCTTCTAGCTCAGTGGTTCTCAACCTTTTTAATGCCGCGGCCCCCAACCGGTTGTAGGTCGAGGACTACTCAACCGGTCGTAAGTCAAGGACTACTCAACTGGTGCAGCACCATTTGCAGAATGGGACTTTTGGCAGGCTCAGCAGGGCAGAGACAGCCTGGACAATTCCTATTGGCTTTTGAAAGCCAATAGAATTAGACTCTATTCAAGAGAGTCTAATTCTATTGGATTTCAAAAGCCAATAGAATAAAAGGGAGTAGCACAGCTAAGGAAAAGGGGGAAAAATGGCAGACTGCATTGTTTGCCGACCCCTGTGAAATGGTTGTTCGACCCCAAATGGGGTCCCGACCCACAGGTTGAGAACCACTGTAACTAGCTTAACTTGGATGAGAGCAACCAAATTTAAGACAACAGCATTTAAGTAGATTAATAGCAATAGCACTTAGACTTATATTCTGATTCACAGTGCTTTACAGCTCTCTCTAAGTGGGTTATAGAATCAACATATTGTCCCCATCAATCTGGGTCCTCATTTTACCAATCGCAGAAGGATGGAAGGCTGAGTCCACCTTGACCCAGTGAGAATCAAACTTCTGGCAGCCAGCAGTGAGTTAGCCTGCAATACTGCATTCTAACCACTGCACCACCAAGGCATTGACTTTGCAAAGGATTGGGACACATTGTAAGTAGCAAAATAAAGTCCAAACATTCCTGATTGGCTTTTCCATGTGGAATAGAGAGGTGATACACTCTTGTTCTTTTGCCTAGGAACTACTTCAGATGACCTCACTGGTGGTGAGGTCTATATTTCTTCAAGTTCTATTTTATGCCCTTCCATAGACTTAGCTCACCCCCAACCACATTCCCCAGATCACCTCTGAAGAGGTCCCTAACTGATTAGTTGACTTCTATTCCCATATGATAATTTTCAGCTCAATTTGGGATCTTGTAATAATTTATTATTGCCATTAATATATATGTATGTATGTATGTATGTATATATATCTATACAATCCAAGAGGCTGGCTAAAAGGCATGCTGGATCTACACGCCAAACAGCTGACAAGCGCGACTTTTAAAATGGTCTTGAGACTGACTGCTCTATGCTTTTAAGAGCTTCTTGGGCACAATGTGTGCACATGCCTCACTTCAACTGTTTTTTAACTGTTATGTAAATTTATGCACATGCTCCCCCTTCTCATTTAGCCCTTTGCTCTGATGATGTTAACAGGTTGTTAACGAAAGCTCAGCAGTTAATAAAAAAAAAAACTTTTATCTTACATCCCAGAGCTCTTTATTTTTATCTGATTGACTTTAAATGTCCATACCTGGGATTCCCATATTCAAAATTATTAAAGACATGTATGTATGTATGTATGTATGTATGTGTGTGTCTGTGTGTGTGTGTTTTCTGAGGTTTTCACGGGTGTTTGTATGTAGGTCTTTGGTTATTCGGGTTTTCTCCCACGTAAAATTGGAAGTGTCTTGGCGACGTTTCGAAAAAGTCCCATTCGTCATCTTCAGGCTGGTGTTTTCAGCTTTGTGCTTCGAGGAGTTAGTGAGGAAGTCCTCACTAACTAGCATTTTAAGCCCTGATGATGTCAGCAGTTGCTGACGAAAGCTTGGTGGTTTTATTAAACTTTTATACAGTTTGGAATTCCCTGGTGCTCACTTTTATTTATTTATTTTGAATATATATATATATATATATATATATATATATATATATATATATATATATATTCAATAATGATGGTGAAAATGCGACTCCCGGGCATAATTATAAATGGAATGAATAAAGCGCGTTCACCAGGAGAGTTTAAAGTTAAAATACTTTAATTAAAGTATTTTACTATATTAAAAGGTTGCCAAGCTTTCGTTGGGAAAACTCCCCAACATCTTCAGGGCTGAGAGACCGTTTCTAACAAGGTGATTCAAACGGGTTCCATAGACGTCTGTGCGTGGTTCCTAGACTGTGCTAGCATTCCCTGCTGAACAGCTGATAGGTGGGAGGGGGGAATCGGAGTAAAGAAAAGTAAAGTAAAGTAAAAAGTAAAGTAAAGTGAAATCTTTACTCTGATTCCCCCCTCCCACCTATCAGCTGTTCAGCAGGGAATGCTAGCACAGTCTAGGAACCACGTGCAGACGTCTATGGAACCCGTTTGAATCACCTTGTTAGAAACGGTCTCTCAGCCCTGAAGATGTTGGGAAGTTTTCCCAACGAAAGCTTGGCAACCTTTTAATATAGTAAAATACTTTAATTAAAGTATTTTAACTTTAAACTCTCCTGGTGAACGCGCTTTATTCATTCCATTTATATATATATGTATGTATGTATGTATGTATGTATGTATGTACGTATATTAAAAGTCATTATCACATAGATTCACTAATGAACCACACTCTTAAAACAGGTCCTAGTCCTTTGTTTTTTACTCTGGATTTATCTGCTGTACTCTGCTTAGTATTACATCCTAATACTTTTTTGTAACAATATTGTCAAGATTTATTACATATAGACTGTATATAGTATATCTCATCTTAAAGCTTTATAAGTCTATAAGTCTTAGAATGTCTCTTGGTTGAATTCATCTACAGTCAAAGATCTTTTATTTTGTTTTTATTTTCCACATTCTCCATACCTATATAGCTTCCATTTTCTGGGGGTGAAGGGTGGGGAAGAACTCACTAAAATCTCGATTATGTTTATATACCTGAAAGAATATTTAACATTCTTCCTGTTATAAACAATATGATTAAACAAAAAAAGGAGGAGGAGAAAAGAGGAAAGAACTATCAATCAAATCATATATTAGGAAAATAAATCATACCACTCAAAAAAGTATTAGGATGTAATTCCACCCTTGTTCTCCATTATCTTGTCTCTTCTCTGAATTGATAAATCTGATTTGTGACATAAAAAAACTCATTCCAACTCTAAAAGGTCAGTGTAAGTACGATGTAAAAAAAGATGTTAAGATTCTAGAAAGAGTACAGAGAAGAGCAACAAAGATGATTAGGGGACTGGAGGCTAAGGAACGGCTGCTGGAATTGAATATGTCTAGTTTAATGAAAAGAAGAACTAGGGGTGATGTGAGAATAGGATAGGATAGGATAGGATAGGATAGGATAGGATAGGATAGGATAGGATAGGATGACAGAGTTGAAATGGACCTTGGAGGTCTTCTAGTCCAACCCCCTGCTCGGGCAGGAAACCCTATACCATTTCAGACAAATGGTTGTCCAATCTCTTCTTAAACACCTCCAGTGTTGGAGCATCCACAACTTCTGGAGGCAAGTTGTTCCACTGATTAATTGTTGTAACTGTCAGTTCTAACTGTTGCTTCTCTCTTTGATTAATTTCCATCCATATAATAATAATAATAATAATAATAATAATAATAATGATGATGATGATGATGATGATGATAAAGTTGGAAGGTACCTTGGAGGTCATCTAGTTCAGCCCCCTGTTCAGGCAGGAAACCCTATACCATTGATGAGCCTTCAGATGCTTTGGAGAATAGTTTGACTCTCTTCTAATATCTAAGGGGTTGCCACAAAGAAGAAGAAGTAGTTGACTTATTCTCCAAAGCACCTAAAGGCAGGACAAAAAGTGATGGATGGAAATTAATCAAGGAGAGAAGCAAATTAGAAATAAGGAGAAATTTCCTAACAGAACAATTAGTCAGTGGAACGACTTGCCTCCAGAAGTTGTGGGTGCTCCGATATTGGAGGATTTTAAGAAGAGATTGGACAACAATTTGTCTGAAATGGTATAAGGTTTCCTGCCTGTGCAGGGGGTTGGACTAGAAGACCTTCAAGGTCCCTTCCAGCTCTATTCTGATTGCTTCATTGATCTCCAAGGTCCCTTCCAACTCCGTTGTTCTGTTATTCTGTTATATATTGATTCCTGAAATTATTACAACATGGGTATTATTTTATTGAAAATATTAAATAATGCATGCTTAGATTCACCATTAACCTTAGCTCATCTGCTTGTTATTGTGTAGTACTTTGGCTTAAATATGCTGTTTTAATGAGGAAATTTTTTTTTTAATGTTTTGACTCATGATATAACTGAATCCAGAGAAGGCAAATTTCCTGATCTTAAAAATTATGACCTTGTTATTCTTGATTTTGAACAAACTGATGCCAAATTAATGTAACTTTTTTTTTATTCTAGTGCACTAGAAATAATAAAAGAAAGCATGAGGTCTCAAAATTACAGCACGGTGAAATAATTCATTTTCATAGGTTTTCCTGGCAACCAGAAACTCAGGGTTCCTGTGTTCCTGATCATAGCAGTGTTCTACATATTAATATTAAGTGGGAATGTTCTGATTATCTTCTTCGTGTGGAAAGATCATCGACTCCACACCCCCATGTATTGGCTTCTGGCCAACCTTTCCTTCTCAGGACTTGGCTTCACCATTGTTATTATTCCCCAAATGATGTTCAATATAATCACAGAGCGAAAAGTCATTTCCTTTATGGGTTGCATGATCCAGATATATTTCTATTTTTTCTTGGGAACTTTAGATTACATTCTGGTGGCTATTATGGCCTTTGATCGCTATGTAGCCATCTGTAACCCCTTGAGATATTCTGTCATCATGAGTGGTTGGTTCACCTTCGAGCTTGCTGCTGCCTCTTGGATAGGGGCTTTCTTTTCGGTCCTTTTCTCTGCAATCCCCTTTTATCTGATCCCCTTCTGTGGTCCCAATGTTATTAACCACTTCTACTGTGATATCCTTCCTGTGCTATTTTTGACCTGGTAGATATAAGGAAGTTAACGACTGGGTTTTCAACTCAGCATGGCTGATGAAGCAAGTGGGTGGCAGAAATATCCGCTTCTTTTTGTACCCAGATGTGAAAAGACGGAAATTTAGACCACATTTGGCTGACTCCAACTCTCTTCAAATGAGGAAGTGAAACTAAACCATGGAAAGAGGAGAGGAACACCCATCAAGAAGACATTTTGGGTCTCCTACAACATATTGGGCAGCAACAGTCCCAAATTCAGTCACTGTGTTTCTTGCACAGTAGTAGATGGCAGTGTCTTCTACTTTTAGAGCATCTATCCTTAGCTGTGCTGTTGAACCTTGGGTGGAAGGGGTAACACGGCCCTTAAATTCATTGGCAGTGTATGTGGTATATCCAGTCCTGAAGGCTGTGATAAAGACAAGCTCTTTGCCATTAGATTGACGAACCCAGTACAAATGGTGATCATTGATATTGTATCCTAATACTTTACAAGTCAGAGTAATGAATCTCCCTGGAGATGCAAATGCTTCAGGTGGCTGGGTCAAAGTAACAGTGGCAGAAACACCTGTTAAAAAAGAACAACATAAGGACATTCATATTCTGTGCATATGTTCCATATCACTCTAAGATTTAATGTAATATGAAAAATCTCATGGACAACTATTTCCAAACTTTAGCATCTTCCAGATGTGGGGATTTCAAGTCCCAGAGGTCACCAGTGGGTATGGCTATTGCTGAAAATTCTGGAAGTTGAAGTCTGTACACGTAGAAATTGCCAAGGCTGGACAACACTATTAATAATAATGTTCCATGTTAAATTGATGTAGCAGTGATCTTTGTAGAGAAAGATATTTAAGTCATGGAAAAAGAAGAAACAGGAAAAGGAAGCCTTAGATTTGGGGAGAGGAAAAAGTCATATATATATATATATATTCATTTTGAAGAACTACACACTGGAGATGAGATAAGACCTTTGTTGTATTTTCAATTTTAGTTCCAATTTTTTTATTTCATTACAAAGGAATTGTGATATTTATTTGGAAATATATTAAACTGACAAAAATGAAACATGGTTACTCACCAGCCAGGAAGAGCAAAATGGCAAGGCTAATATAATTGATGTATTTCATAATTTCAAGTGTATTTTTCCTTCGAATTTAGGGACTTAAGGTCAGCTATTTGAACAATTGGAAAGTTTGGCAGCTAATTCCTATATAACCCATGACATGTAAATTAGTTTGCATTTCAGAAATATTCTTCCCCCTCTCATTTGAATTCTATAACTCTCTCTCTACTTATATAGCTTTTTTCTCATGTTAGTACAGAAAATAGATCTTTCTAATGTTGATTAGAAAGCTATAATTTCTCCCATTACTTGTTATATTCCATGCCCCCCATGCGATATATTAATTCCATATGCTGACCCATTTTTAATAGGCTACTGTATATTGGAAAAGATTTTGGGATATGAGATAAAGATGTGTCCCCACATTCCTACACAGGCTACTATGACTTTTGTCACTGAATCAGGAAGGCTGTAGCCATTACAATGATAAATGTAGGTTTCAATTGAGAAGTATGGAATCTGAATTCAGAATTTCACAAACATTATAGACGTATAGATTCTTTAAGATAGTTCAGAATTAAAATGATGAAATCCAAGCAAAGACTGAAGGATTCAGGAAGGTTAATAACATTGAACAATGTTATTAACAATGGTTAATAACATTGGACCCTTCTGTGGTCCAATGTTATTAACCACGTCTACTGTGATATCCTTCCTGTGCTCAGGCTGTCCTGCAAGGACACAACCACACTGAAAAGGTTGAGCTATGTCTCAATAGCTCTTATTGTCCTGTGTTTACTTTTCCTAACCTCAGTATCTTATATCTACATCATTGCCACCATCCTACACATTCCATCTTCAGCTGGCCGACAAAAGGCATTTTCAATCTGTGTTTCTCACATTATTTTGGCCTTGGTTTTTTTTATGGATGTTCCATTTTCTGGTACCTTCTACTAGAGAAAATCTATTCCTTTGGCTTCTACAAAGGTGTGGCCCTGCTTCACACTGTGGTAACACCTTTGTTGAACCCATTCATATATACCCTTCAGAACGGGAAAATAAAGGAAGTCTTCAAAGATACGCTGAAACAAATGGACATTCTTGCCCCCCAAAAGAAGTGACCATTTACTTAATTCAAGAGACAGGGGTCAACTTATTTTCCAAAGAACCAAAAGGCAAAACAAGAAAGAATGAATGAAAACTAATCAAGGAGACATTAGTTAAGGAAATTTAACTAATGAAGGAGAAACTTCCCAACCGGGAGAACAATTAACCAGTGGAACAGCTTGCCTTCAGAAGTTGTGGATGCTTCATCACTGGAGGTTTTTAAGAAGAGACTGGATAGCCACTTGTCTCAAATTGTATAGGGTCTCCTGTTTGAGCTGGAGATTGGACTAGAAGACCTCCAAAGTCCCTTCCAGCTCTATTCTGATTGATTGATTGATTGATTGATTTTTTGAGATACCAATCTATATCCCAGTGTGACATTTTTTTCATGCCTTGGGTTATTGTGAACCTAAGATCAGGGCTATATGGTTAAATTTTGTTTTGATGCAATCAAGTTGAGGAATTGTAAAAGCTGATCTGTAGATGAATAGGAACTTGAAGACTGGAGATTATAGTCTCATGTCCCAACCTCCCCCCAAATATCAGTGCTTACCTACAGAAAACTTTTGGAGTTTAAGTGTCAGAGTTATCCTGAAAACAAAAGTAAGAAAAGGGGTGTTTTAAGGACACAGTAGGGAGATACCTTTTCTGATTACATCATTGTGCTTTATAAAAAACCAAGAGCATGCAACTTCTGTTAGTATCTACCTTTCTTTACATCTCATGGAAAGTGAGAGGATTTGGATTTGTAGAATTTAAATCTCCATACACCATCAGTTCAGATGTTGGGTATCATAGGGATTAGAGCAGGGGTCTTCAAACTTGGCCATTTATGACTTGTGGACTTCAACTCCAAGAATTCCTCAACCAAACATGCTGGCTGAGGAATTCTGGGAGTTGAAGTCCACAAGTCATAAGAGGGCCAAGTTTGAAGACCCCTGGATTAGAGGGAGATAGAAATAGATGATAGACTCACCTGCCCAGAGGAATTATCCATTTAGAAAAGTATTAAAGGGACATGAAGTTGCTGTGGTTGGAACCCTGATTCTTCCAAACAAATACTATTTTAGCCAGAATCCACAGTGATGACAGATAACAATAAACCAACATCCAAACTCACACCATGAATAATATCATAGGGTGCCCAATCCTACCAAGGCTTGCTTTCTTAAAGATTTAATAATGCACCTAATTCTTTGACTATCTTCAGAAGTGGAAATAAATGCTTAATCTTGAAAAAAAAGAAATAAATGATAGGCAGATAGAGAGAGAAGAGAGAGAGGAGAGAAAGAAAGATAGAATAAAAAGTTAGAAAGATGGAAAGAAAGATAGGAAGACAGAAAGAGATGAAAAAATCTGGACATATAGAGATATTCTAAACTCTGAAGGGAATTTAAAATCTAAACAAGAAATGGAAAATCAGGGTATCAATCTATCATGGTGGGCACATTTACAAATGCAAGCTAGATATGATAAAGATGTGAAACTATGGATTTTATAAGGAATAAACTGTGTTTTATAAGACATTGTTAACTTCTGACGAGAAACTAATTAAGAAAATGTATAATTTTATTAACTTTGAAAATGGAAAGCGAACAAGTTAAAGAAACAATGATAAGATGGCCGCAAAATTTTGGATACAATATATAATTAGAAAAATGGCAAAATTTTTGTGAAAGAAATTACAAACTGACAATGTCAATTTCCTACAAAGAAAATTTATATAAAATGCTTTATAGATGGCACTTGCCATCAGCAAGACTAGCAAAAATGTTCAAAAACATGTCAGATAGATGTTGGAAATATAAAAATAAGTCAGGCACTTATTATCATGTTTGGTGGACTTGTAACAAAGTAAAGAGTTATTGAAAAAACTGGCTAGAAAAGATGTTGGGAGAATATGTAGATTTTAAATCTGAACTTTTTTTTAATTAGGTATAATGCCAAAAAAACTAACATATAACTAGCATATATTTGATTTTGCATGTCACAACAGTGGCAAGAATTACATTTGCGCAATACTGGAAAAATGAAGGAATACCATCAGATGAAGAAATAATTTAAAAAATACTAGAATGCACAGAGATGGATAGGCTGACTATGAGACTGAAAGAAATAGAAACGGAATATTATCAAACTTGGGACTTATTTTATCGATGGCTAGAGAAGGAATAAAGGATTAGGAATTAAATATGTATTAGCAGATGTAAACTCAGACAGCACATTTGTTGAAAAATTATTACTGAATGTATGGGAAAAAAAACCAATAAAAACTTTTACAAAAAAAAAAGACAGATGATAGGTAGATAGATGATACATGAGAGAGAGAAAGAGAGAGAGAGAGAGAGAGAGAGAGAGAGAGAGAGAGAGAGAGAGAGAGAGACAGACAGACAGACAGACAGACAGACAGACAGACAGACAGACAGACAGACATCTTTTAATGATGCCATCATATCAGAAGTAATTTCCCCACTTCCGGCCACAATGCTTTCCTAGCTAGAGCAAATGTCCTCATTGCCAGACTGGAAATAATTTTTTTTAAAAAAAAAAAAAAAATATATATGTCTGAATGGTTAACCAAAATTTTTGGATGTTGCCAGTTGATAAAAGTCAAGGACTTCAAAAGAGACCATCATGAGATCAAATCAATCAGATAATGGGAGGGATGTTAGTGAAAAGTAATAATAATAATAATAAAAATCTAGAAAATTGATGTACTGTTCTGCCAGCAAACAATATCCCTCTCAAAACAGATAATTCAATGTCTATTTCTCTAAGTGAAATTTCACACTTTTCTAAAGAACTGCTATCTTAATAGAGAAATATATCATATATAAATTTATATCCTGAATATGTTCGTGTGTATACACAGAAACTTACCTAAAGGCACAGACATATATGGATATAACTTTCAATAACTTAGTGAACAAAACTTTCCAAGATTAGCTTTCTTAGATTGGCCCACAGAGATCTATGTGGTGCTCAGGGACCTCCTAAGAAATCCTTGAGATATCAACAAGAAAGTCCTATGGTTAAAAAAGAAAAAGAAAAAAAAGAATCTTGCCAAAATAGAATGAAAAAAAAAATCAGATCCCCATTAATTGTACTGAAATTTATCTCAGAACTGCTGTAGAAGTGCTAAAAATGTATGCTCTTTGGCTTAACAAAATAACAGAATTCTAAGGGACCTTTGGAGGTCTTCTAGTCCAACCCCCTGTTTAATTTTCAGAAATTTGAGAAACCTGTATAGTATTTTTCCTGGTTCTAAAGACCTTCAGCCACAAATGCCTGGGGGAGAAAAAAACCTATATAATTGCCTCTTTCCTCCTGAATCCCACATTCTCTTTTTCTGATGGAAAGGGGAAGATGGACACCTGGGGTTAGAGCAGTGGTTCTCAACCTTTTTAATGCCGCAACCCCCAACCGGTCGTAAGTCGAGGACTATTCAACTGGTGCAGCACCGTTTGCAGAATGGGACTTTTGGCGGGCTCAGCAGAGCAGAGACAGCCTGGACAATTCCTATTGGTTTTTGAAAGCCAATGGAATTAGACTCTATTCAAGAGAGTCTATTCTATTGGCTTTCAAAAGCCAATAGAATAAAAGGGAGTAGCACAGCTAAGGAAAAGGGGAAAAAATGGCAGACTGCGTTGTTTGGCGACCCCCATGAAATGGTCGTTCGACCCCAAATGGGGTCCTGACCCACAGGTTGAGAACCACTGGGTTAGAGGCTATATGAGCATCAATTAGCCTGCAGGGTCCTTAATCCACAGCAAAGTTTTTGTAAGTTGCATTGTTGCCATACTTTGAATAGAAGTCTTTATCATGGAACAAATGAATGAACTAGACCAGTGGTGGCGAACCTTTGGCATGCGTGCCAGAGGCAGCACTCAGAGCCCTCTCTGTGGGCACGTGTTCGGTGCTCCGGAGATGGTGGGGGACTGGCCCCTGCCACCCTGGCCCCACCCACCCATACTGCCACGCCCACCATGGCCACACCCACCTGGCACCCAGTAATAAATAAATGGGGTTTGGGTTGCAATTTGGGCACTGGGTCTCCAAAAGATTTGCCATCACTGAACTAGACCCAGGAATATAATACTCTCCTACTGATGTCTATGGAGATTCTCAGTCATCCAGGTCATGGTTGTCCCAAAGGTAATTGGACTTTTAGATGAGAAGCAAAATGTATTTAAGGAAAAACAAGTTGCCTTTTGAATATCACCTTTGTGACTTTCCTACTGATCTGCTGTAACAAATTTTAGGTCTTTCCAAAGACGCGAATAATACATTGCATAACAACAACAACCAAAACAGAAATTTATTTTGTGAATTTAGTTAACAAAGGCTCAACTTTCAAATATCATATTGGGAAGACATATATTGTGATCAAGAAATATTATATAAAGTGTACTCCGCCTCTATAGATAGAAGCAGAGATAGACACAAAACCTGCAGAGATGTTATAGGTAGAGGTAGTACAGAGAAAAAGACAAGTCTGTGTATGTGTGTTTCTGTGTGTGTACGTGAGAGAGAGTGTGTTTAAGGAGAGAAAGAGAAATGAGTCAGACTGAGACAGACAGAGACATAATTCTTCTCAAGATTAATTAGTTTTCTTAAATTGGCCTGGGTAGATCCATGTAACCCTTTGAGCCTTCTGAGAAATCCTTGAGGTATGTTCAAGAAAGTCAGAAGAAAAATAAAATTTTACCCAAATTCAGTGAACAAAATCTATATCCACATTAAATTTACTGAACACTATCTCAGAATTAGTGTGGTTGGTGCTAAAAAGGTATGTTGTTTGATTTTATTGTGAAATTTGTTTGGCATTGTACCTGGGTGATATTTTTAATGTTGGATTAGTGGAAGAGATTATTTGTATGTTTAGGTATTTTGAAAAAAGAAATTCTTCTATATATTTGATGCTGGAATAATGCTCTAATTTTGTCACTTGGCAATGATGTATTCTATGTAAAATGGTTTATTTTTAATGCAGGAGCACTCTGATGTTTTTGAGTTGTTCAGACTTATATTATGGTATGGAATTGTTGGAATGTTAATAAAATAAATCTGATTAAATTGGGGTTTAGTAGAAGTTCTTTATCCATGCCTTCATGTTTTCTCTACTTTTAAATAATACAATCGTTAATCAACTTGAGTTTGAGAAAGGGAATGTAGCTGTTTTCAACAAACTGGTTTGAAGCTCAGGTCCTCAGATTGTCGTCTCCATGTTCAGAAGATAGATTTTCACTTTACAGGATGGGAGGGCTACCACCTAAAAGGGGGAGAATGAATTTTCCACAAACAGTGGTTTGTGGGAGGCTATCTACATTTGCTTCATGAAGAAGAGGTGATGGCCAATTCAGCAGCTTCATTATTATTATTATTGGTAAGGCCACACTTGGATTACTGCATCCAGTTTTGTTCATCACGATGTAAAAAAGATGCTGAGACCCTAGAAAGAGTACAGAGTACAGAGAAGAGCAACAAGATGATTAGGGGACTGGAGGCTAAAACATATAAGGAACGGTTGCTGGAATTGGGTATGTCTAGTTTAACAAAGAGAAGGACAAGGGGGGACAGGATAGCAGTATTCCAATATCTCAGGGGTTGCCACAAAGAAGAGGGAGTCAAGCTATTCTCCAAAGTGCCTGAAGGCAGGACAAGAAGCAACGGGTGGAAACTAATCAAGGAGAGAAGCAACCTAGAACTAAGGAGAAACTTCCTGACAGTGAGAACAATTAATCAGTGGAACAACCTGCCTGCAGAAGCGGTGAATGCTCCAACACTGGAAGTTTTTAAGAAGAGACTGGACAGCCATTTGTCCAAAATGGTGTAGGGTTTCCTGCCTGAGCAGGGGGTTGGACTCGATGACCTCCAAGGTCTCTTCCAACTTTATTATTATTATTATTATTATTATTATTATTATTATTATTATTATTATTATTATTTTGAGTAGACCATTTTAGCAATCCTATTGGAGATTATAGGAGGCAAATCCAAGACCATTTTATATCTGAAGCAGAATAGAACAGAACAGAACAGAACAGAACAGAACAGAACAGAACAGAACAGAACAGAATAGAATAGAATAGAATAGAATAGAATAGAATAGAATAGAATAGAACTTTGAAGGTCTCCTAGTCCAGCCCCCTATTCCAGCAGGAGACTCTATACTTTTTGAGACAAGTGGCTGTCCAGTTTATCCATGAAAAGGTTTTGTTGGATAGTTGTCTTCTTTCTATAACCCTTCCTTCAAAGGGTTGTACTGCTGGATTTTGCCTATCCTTAACATTTTTAAAGATCTCTTTTATAAGCCTTTAAACATTAAACTGAATAATGTTCAACTTAAACTACATACTCAAATAGAGACACATCCAAATATTAATGTGGTATGTGAATTTGTTTAATATGGATGGAGGAGACATTAATTTAGTTCTTATGAAACCTACCAATGGTTTCCTTAATTATTCCTTAGCAGTATCTTATAAGATTTTGTTTATGATCATCCATACAATTTAGAGGAAATCATATCCGTACGATCTAGAGAAAAACTGAGTGGTAATAGATCCTTATGAAAACATGAGCTGGGTGGTTTTTCTTTTCTTCTCTCTAGTCCTCAAATTCAGATCAGTTCTTTCTAGTTCTCAAATTCAGTTCAGTTCTCTCTACTTCTCAAATTCAGTGGGTACCAGCTGTCTCAGAATGATGGAGGTTACCAAATCTCAGCCAATTAATGAAACCTGCATGAGTTGGAACAGGGAGGGGACATTTAAACAATTCAGAACTAGTATGGAATGTTATGCAAAGTAATTCAGTTCAACCATTCCATTCAAATCTGTGTAACTTAATGCCTGTTTCAATCCCTTGTTATTTATAGCTACTTTGACTATCAAGGAATCATGTTTCTATAAATTACTGTCATTGTTTTAGGGAAGAACAAGATGTCAAATACTACATTTATTACCGAATTTGTTCTTCTGGGATTTTCTGAACTACACAAAGTGGATCTGGGATTTTATACTCTCCTGCTTTTGATGTACCTTCTCTCACTTATGGGACATGCCTTAATCATCATAGTGATTTCCATGGAACCTAAGCTCCATACTCCAATGTATTTCTTCCTACTCAACTTCTCCATAGCTGAGATTTCTTCCACAACATCAGAGATGCCAAAGATGTTGGTCAACAGCTTCTCTGGCAAAAACACCATCTGCTTTGCCTGCTGCATGGTCCAAGGATTCATGGTTTTCACAATGGGAGCTGTGGAGTTCATGACCCTCACGATCATGTCTTTTGACCGCTATGTGGCCATCTGCAAACCTTTGCATTATCAAACTATTATGACTAGTGGACTCTGTCTCAATCTGTCTTTGCTGGCATGGATTGGTGGGTTTGGACTCATATTTCCTCAGTCGGTCGTAGTGTGGACATACCCTTATTGTGGGCACAACAAGATTGATCATTTCTTTTGTGATGTTGGTCCAGTTTTGCAATTGGCTTGTGCTGACACCACTGTAATTGAATTTGTGGGACTCATATATGGTGCCACTATCATGTGGGGCTCCTTTGGATTTTCCCTGATTTCATATGCACGCATTATATTCACTATAATTCAGATCCCTTCTGCCACTGGGCGTTCCAAAGCCTTTTTCACCTGTGCCTCCCATCTCACTGTTGTAACCATTTTTTATATGGTACTTATGTTTATGTACTTGAGACCTTCAACTCATGGGAATATCCAACTTAACAAAATATTGTCTCTTTTCCACACGAGTTTCATTCCCATGTTAAACCCTTTCATCTACACAATCCGAAACAGTGATTTCAAAACAGCTCTGTGGAAAGCAATAGCAAAAATAAAGAAGAATTCCTAATGGCTCTTTACATGTTTTGCATTCCGTCAACTCCTTGTCCTAAGTAGAACTCCATTCTTTTGTCCTCTGATTGCTGTAATATAGATCAGTAGCATGTCATCTGTTTGTACTAGCACTGATGATGTTACCTAGTTTGGGTAATGAAATGTCTGCAAGAAATAAGCAAGCTCAGAGAACACCAAGGATCCCTCATCTATTTGGTGTCAATTTATATGGATGTATGAATGCTCCATGAAACTGTGTTATAGTTATCCTGCTTGAGATAATGAGTTGTTTCATAGATGCATGCTTGTTCATGTTTTTTTATGTGTATCTGCCTAAAAACAGATACACATAAAAAGCAGATACACATAAAAAACCATGTTCATGTTTTTTATATGTAACTGCCTAAGGTATCTCCTACATTTTATGCATTGAAGGTCCTTATCCTAGAGCTACAATTGGGGAAAGAGGTCTTATTCTTTTTTTTTTTTTTTTAGGAGAATGTGGAACTGGCAACTGTGCATTCCACAACTAATCAACAATCCTTAGTTCTCCAAAATCCTGTCCCTAAAGATCTTACCTTGTTGGATAACGAAATGTCTGCAAGATAACAACCAAACTCAGATAATACCAACGACTCTGCAGTTCAACCCTAAGCTACAAAGATTCTCTTCTATTGGTACCATTGATATTCATTCAGTTGCAACTTACAGAGGCAATGGGACTCAATGGGAGATCACATGATCAAATCCAAGAGGAATCAATCTTTGGCCTTCTGGCCAGTGACTACAACGCACTCAAAAGAATTCCCACCTATTTCCTATCTGTATTGTGGAAGCTCCAAAACAATTTTTGACCTGGTAGATATGAGGAAGTTAACCACTGGGTTTTCAACTCAGCATGGCTGATGAAGCAAGTGGGTGGCAAAAATATCCGCTTCTTTTTGTACCCAGATGTGAAAAGAAGGAAATTTAGAGAGTGTTTGGCTGACTCCAACTCTCTTCAAATGAGGAAGTGAAACTAAACCATGGAAAGAGGAGAGGAAAACCCATCAAGAAGACATTTTGGGTCTCCTACAACATATTGGGCAGCAACAGTCCCAAATTCAGTCACTGTGTTTCTTGTGCAGTAGTAGATGGCAGTATCATCTACTTTTAGAGCATCTATCCTTAGCTGTGCTGTTGAACCTTGGGTGGAAGGGGTAACACGGCCCTTAAATTCATTGGCAGTGTATGTGGTATGTCCAGTCTTGAAGGCTGTGATAAAGACAAGCTCTTTGCCATTAGATTGACGAACCCAGTACAAATGGTGATCATTGATATTGTATCCTGATACTTTACAAGTTAGAGTAATGGATCTCCCTGGAAGTGCAAATGCTTCAGGTGGCTGGGTCAAAGTAACAGTGGCAGAAACACCTGTTAAAAAAGAACAACATAAGGACATTCATATTCTGTGCATATGTTCCATATCACTCTAAGATTTAATACAATATGAAAAATCTCATGGACAACTATTTCCAAACTTTAGCATCTTCCAGATGTGGGGATTTCAAGTCCCAGAGGTCACCAGTGGGTATGGCTATTGCTGAAAATTCTGGAAGTTGAAGTCTGTACACGTAGAAATTGCCAAGGCTGGACAACACTATTAATAATAATTTTCCATGTTAAATTTACACAGCAGTAGATCTTTGTAGGGAAAGATATTTAAGTCATGGAAAAAGAAGAAACAGGAAAAGGAAGCCTTAGATTTGGGGAGAGGAAAAAATCATATATATATATATATATATATATATATATATATATATATATATATATATATATATATATATATATTCATTTTGAAGAACTACACACTGGAGATGAGATAAGACCTTTGTTGTATTTTCAATTTTAGTTCCAATTTTTTATTTCATTACAAAGGAATTGTGATATTTATTCGGAAATATATTAAACTGACAAAAATGAAACATGGTTACTCACCAGCCAGGAAGAGCAAAATGGTAAGGCTAATATAATTGATGTATTTCATAATTTCAAGTGTATTTTTCCTTTGAATTTAGGGACTTAAGGTCAGCTATTTGAACAATTGGAAAGTTTGGCATCTAATTCCTATATAACCCATGACATGTAAATTAGTTTGCATTTCAGAAATATTCTTCCCCCTCTTATTTGAATTCTATAACTCTCTCTCTACTTATATAGGTTTTTTTCTCATATTAGTACAGAAAAAAGGTCTTTCTAATGTTGATTTTTGATGGCAAAAATAGCTATAATTTCTCCTATTACTTGTTATATTCCATGCCCCCCATGGGATATATTAATTCCATATGCTGACCCATTTTTTTTAATAGGCTACTGTATATTGGAAAAGATTTTGGGATATGAGATAAAAGATGTCTCCCCACATTCCTACACAGGCTTCTATGACTTTTATCACTGAATCAGGAAGGCTGTAGCCATTACAATGATAAATATAAGTTTCAATTGAGAAGTATGGAATCTGAATTCAGAATTTCACAGACGTTATAGATGTATAGATTCTTTAAGATAGTTCAGAATTAAAATGGTGAAATCCAAGCAAAGACTGAAGGATTCGGGAAGGTTAATCTTATCACAGCCATCTGCCATTCTGCCCCCAAATTATGTATTTCAAAGGGAAAACAGGAAATACTCTTATACATAATAATTTAACATTTAATACTGAAAACACAATTTGTTTGATCATTAGTGGTTGTGATTCTCCTTCTTCAGTAGTAGGGATGTTCCATGCCATATTAGTTTGTGTTTGATTTACCCAATACCTATAGTTGTTACTCACCAGGCAAACATAGAAGAAAAGGGTAAATATAAAGAAACCAGCCCATCTTTAGAATAGAACAGAACAGAACAGAACAGAACAGAGTAGAGTAGAGTAGAATAGGAAAGGAGAGGAGAGGAGAGGAAAGAAGAGAAGAGAAGAGAACTGGAAGAGACATTGGAGGTGTTCTAGTCCAGCCCCCCACTTATGTAGGAGAACCTATACCCAAGGACCCCAACCTTTTGGGCACCAGAGACCGGTTATGTGGAGAGACGTTTTTTTTCCACGGACTGTAAGGGGCATGTTTTTGTGTGCTGTTTTTGTGTGGATGGGGGCTTTCCTTGTTTGTGCAGACTGGTTGCTGGCATGCTGTGGCCCAGTCCTGCTCCATGGATTGGGGGTTGGGGACCCCTGACCTATACCATCTAAGACAAGTGGCTGTCTAGCCTCTTTAAAATCTCCAGTGATGGAGCACCCATGATTTCTGGAGGCCAGCTGTTCCACTGGTTAATTGTCCTCACTGTCAGGAAGTTTCTCCTTAATTCTTGGTTGCCTCTCTCTTTGATCAGTTTCCAACCATTGTTTCTCGTTCTTCCCTTTGGTTATTCACCAAAGCACCAGAGGGAAGGATGAGAAACAGATCAGTATTTGCCTTGGGTTCAAGTTGTAAGGGTGACCTATTTACAATGATGAAATCAATTGATCATTTGCATGTTCTCACATACTCCAGAATGAACAAAACAATTTGCATTTCAGAAAATTCCCTTCTTTTCTTGGTTCCTGCCTATCTCTAGTTGGTTCTGGTCAGAACTGCTTTTTCAGGAAGGAAACATACCGTATATGCCGGCGTATAAGGCGACTTCCACGAGCACTGAAATCGGCGCCAAAGACGGGGGTCGTCTTATATGCCGAGTTGTCTTATATGCCAGAAATACTGGTAGTTTCTGCCGTATAAGATGACGTTCTAGGAATGCGGCTCGGCGATAAAGACGGGGGTCATCTTATACGCCGGGTTGCCTTGTACACTGGCATATATGGTAATCTCTTTTAATATTACTATGGTAGAAGAGAAGAACTTCTCATGTTATTGTTCTTTTAGATCTATCCCTCAACCTCTCCTATCCTTCTGAGAGGAGGAGAAGGAGAAGGAGAAGGAATTTCAATTATATTTATCAAAATACAACTATAGTGTAATTGAGCTTAGATCTGTGTTTAAGCCTCTTTAATCTCTAGAGCCATTAAAACCAGAAGAAGACCAGTGAATGGAATAATTGCACATGTAAAAAAAGTGTTAAAGGAAAAGTAGTTTCATTTGTTCAGTGCAAAACATTACTTGTTGTATCCTAGGTCATGCAAGATGGCAACATTTAAGAGAAGTGCCTACTTTATGTGATCTGTTAGGATGGGAAAATATGCACAGGGAGTCCCATAAATAATCTAACTATGTGCCACATAGATTACCCGTGCTTTGAATTGCACTAGAAGAAAACCAGGGCCCAGTGTAGCTTGGTGTGGAAGTGTAAAAAAGCTGAAGCTATAAGCATCCAACACTATGCAGACAATCACATACTGGATCAGTTGTAACTTCTGTGTGATCTTCAAGGACAATCCCATGTAGGGGACATTGAAGTCAGTGGTGGGATTCAGCCGGTTCGCACCACTTCGGCAGAACTGGTAGCTACTTTTTTGTTGCCCAGGCCCAGAATGGACTTCTGGAAGTGGCATCCACACAGAGAACCGGTTGTTCACATACTTGAATCCTACCACTGATCGATGTAATCCAACTAGGTTTTCTAAGAAATTTAAAGCTAAAATATAGATTTATTTTGTGTGCCAATTGTGCCCTTGCTTGGATTGGAAGGCCTTGCTAATACTCACTTCCTGAGTATTAGCAAGGCCTTCCAATCCAAACAAGGGCAGAACTGGCACACAAAATAAATCTGTATCTTAGCTTTCAACTTCCCAGAAGTTCTAGTAAAAGGAAGCACTAATAGACTGCTATTAGGTTGGTCAATGGTCAACTATAGATTTATATCTGGACATTGAATATGATCACTGATCAAGGAGAGAAGCAACTTAGAACTAAGGAGAAACTTCCTGACAGTTAGAACAATTAACCAATGGAACAACCTGCCTCCAGAAGCGGTGAATGCTCCAACACTAGAGGTTTTTAAGAAGAGACTGGACAGCCATTTGTCCAAAATGGTATAGGGTTTCCTGCCTGAGCAGGGAGTTAGACTAGATGACCTCCAAGGTCCCTTCAAACTTTATTATTATTATTATTATTATTATTATTATTATTATTATTATTATCATGGCTTTATCTATCTCTCAATTTATATGTCTGAATATTTTCATTTGTTCAATTAAATTCATTCTGGTTTCCATGTTTGGACTCACAATCATTTCATTTGGTGAATTTTAAGACCTAGTGATGTATGTTATTTCCCTTCAGCAACCTAGGGACATTCAACTACTCATATTCCCCAAAAAATGAGAAAAAAAGGATTTATATCACTTTGATAATACTACGAACATAAGTCACTAATGATCACCATCAAGTTTCATTACTTATCCTGTGAAATGGAATGGTTGGATTTTTAAAAATTCCTTATTTTAAGTCCTCCAACATTTGAAAGCTGATCTCAGAAGAAGTTGATCTTATGGCTCTAGTTCTGCAAACAGATTTCTGTTACTTATTCACCAGATGGTTTCACTAGAGAGATGCCGCAAAGAAAGTTTCAATTGTGCAGTACTTTCTGAAGAACATTTCCTTTCTGATACATCAGATTTGAAACCGCCCTGCTTATTTCAAACCACAGATTTTGGTTAGAGTTTATTTTCTCAAGCACATGCTGTAGTTTTGTGGTGCAAACTTTATAAAGTCTATTCAAATGAACAGAGAATAGATTCAGAGAAGGACCATGAGGAGATAAGTCATGAAGTCCTATAGAGAGAAACTAGAAGACCAGGATATGTTTCATCTTTGAAGAAGAATGCCATTCGGAAGATGGCTTGTTCTTTCCCATTCCAGAGTGCTGGACCTGAAATCATGGATTTCAGTCAGAGAAATAAAGATTCCCATGAAATATCGGGGAAAAGTCTGTATATAAAATTTGGATTCCTTCACTAAGGCAATACTTGGGACTGGGTGAACTCAATGGCTCATCCCTTTCTGCCTTCTTTTTTTTCCTGCACTGGTGCTTTACAAATGCATGTTTTACAGGTATGCTTTGATCACTGATGCCATCAGTCATGAGACAAACCAACGTGGCTGCTCCAAAAACAACAACAAGAACAAAAATGGAGAACAACAAACCCTGGCTGGGAAAAGAAATATGTGGGTGTCCTTATAGTCCCAAACATCTGGAGAACTCAGCTTCTGGTTGGGTTGCAATTTAAAAGCTGATTATTTTAGGATCTGAGTCCTCCTACGTGGCCTTATCCTTATTCTTAGAAGAAACATTTAAAAGAGATTTTTGTGTATCCTTTTAATGTCCTTTTAACAGCTTGCCTCCAGAAATTGTGGGCGCTCCATCACTGGAGATTTTAAAGAAGGGACTAGACAGTCACTTGTCTGAGATCATATAGGTTCTCCTGCCTGAGCAGGGGGCTGGACTAGAAGACCTCCAGGGTCCCTTCCAGCTCTATTCTATTCTATTCTATTCTATTCTAATCTAATTTCTTATTCTATTCTTATTTCTTATTCTATTCTATTCTATTCTATTCTATTCTATTCTATTCTTATTTCTTATTCTATTCTTATTTCTTATTCTGTTCTATTCTAATGCTTCCAAATAACTAACATGACCTTATAAAATATAGTTGGGTTCTAAATTCATTTGGTTTGAAAGCTTTACAAAGAACCTGAGTTTCATGCACCACCCTTGAGTGAGCTTCCCATAACTTTCATTTCTCGTCTTCTCTTTCTATTGGCAATAGAAACCTGCTTTCTTCCATGGGTCAAAAGTCACTTTTTTCTCTTTCTGCCTCCAATGTTCTGTCTTGCACAGTGCAAGAACGCCACCAAGAGTATTGAACTGAAACAGCAAGCCAACCACCGATGAACGAAACCCATCAACAGTTTACTGAAACCAAGAATGGTAAAAAAATAAATATAGCCCAATAAGTAATTCTGATACTTGCTGTGGTTTTTCATAAGTTATAAAAGGGTTTCTTTTTCTCCCATTTCTTTTCTTAAGCTTTGGCTGCCATCAAGCGGTTAACATGCAATATTATATTAGTTCTTTTTTTCACCAAATATAAGGACAGAGAACATGTGGCCCTCCAGATGTTGGTTAATTAAATATTCACTATTGTTAGTTGATTAGAGTCGCTAAGAACTATAATTCTTGGAGCGTTTTGGAAGACAACAGAACACCTAAAACTGTCTCTCCCTCTCTCTCTCTCCCTCCCTCCCTCCCTCCCTCCCTCCCTCCCTCCCTCCCTCCCTCCTTCCTTCCTTCCTTCCTTCCTTCCTTCCTCTTTATTTATTTATTTATTTATTTATTTATTTATTTTTTCCTGTCAATCTCAACTGTTTTTGTTTTTCTTACTGGAAT